CTAAAAATAAGCATTGCAATGAAATTAACGACAAGGTTGTTGAAGTTCTTTCAGGTGTCTCTAAAACGTACTTCAGTGTTAACAGGCTCATTGTAGAGGAAGAGGGAGAGGCTCTCAATTTTCCCCTCGAATTCTTGGACAGTCTTAATCTTAGTGGCTTACCACCGCATAAACTCACACTTTTGGAGGGGGTTTTTGTCATGCTTTTAAGAAACCTCAACGTTTCTAAAGGTTTATCGAATGGTACCCGATTTATCGTCTGGAAACGTTATGAAAATTGTCTTGATTTGCAGGTCATTTCCGGCGAGAAGGCCGGTGAAAGAATTTCACTGCCAAGAATTGATTTGTCACCTGCAGACTCCTCTCTCCCTTCCTCTTTTAAGAGGCGACAATTTCCAATTCGCATTGCGTTCTGCATGACCATCATCAAAGCTAAGGGTCAAACACTGAAGCGAGTCGGCATTTATCTACCCCAAACAGTTTTTGGCCATGGTCAACTATATGTTGCACTCTCACGAGCTACATCGTACAAAAATTTTGAAGTCCAAATTCTTCCCAAAGGCAACCGTACAAAAAACATCGTGCACAAAGAGGTGCTTCGATCTTTTATAAATCCCAAAAGCCTCATAGTCATTAGAAAATTATCAAAAAATAAAAATAAAAAAAAATTTAAACAGTAACACAAAAAAAAAGAAAAATTAATAATGCGAGTTTTTTATAACATTTTTCGGTAGAATGGCAGTCTCCACCCTGTAACGCAGAGAGGCAGTTAAATCCCTTGATCTTCTGCCGCAGAATCATCATCATTATGAAATAGATTCAACTAATCGCTCCGATTCCAAATAAGCTACTGCACCACCATTGCTAGCTGTGGAGGGCGCCCGTAGGGCGCCCGGAGCAGCTAGTTGATATTATTTCTTGAAGTTTTTGCAGAATTTTCTTTGCATTGAGAAGAAAAATCAGGACGGTTTTAAAGAATTGCAGTTGAGTAGTTTTCCATTTAAAAAATAAAGTATGACAGGAAGTCTGCGACGTCGCAAACCGAGTTATGTGATTGCCGACTTTCACCGTCGATATGGAGAATTTCATCAACGTAACTTTTTAAAATAAAAGGTTAATAAACAAAGAGGAATTCTATAAATTTTGATGCGACTGAAGAGTGAGTGGCGGGAAATCGTCGGATAATCCTCCGAGCTCTCCGCTTGACAACTCTCCACCAAGCTCACAGAGAGTTTAGCGATGCACCTTGTCCCTCAGCTGCTCAATGAGTGCACAAGTTGGACAGTTTTGGAAAAGAAGGAGCAACACTTAAATTCAAATCCAAAAAGGGTCTCTACATGAATAGATTGGAGAATCCAGCGTACAATCTCCGCTTGTGGTTATAGCAGGGGCCATTACAGAATTGTACATCAGAGAAACGTGAACTCTTCACAGACATGAATAATGAGATATGAGAAAACAAAGATGGCATTTTGCAGGGAAGTTTTGATTCAGAGATAAGTAATGCGAATGCACAGGGTAGATTTTGACAGTGTAGCTTAGTACGGTGGAAACTTGAGACTTCGTGCTGAGTGTTCTATAAAAGAGAGCGATCGTTTAAACAAATACTTGTCAAGAGAGTTGTGATACTTGTAGCTGCTAATATTCAAACATCATTTTGGAATCCTGTGATGTTAGTATTTGAAACTGATTTCATTGTTCTTTCCAACAAGAAATGCAGCTAGTCAAACGCAGCTGAGCCTCTGCTGTGCAAATTTGTATTCATGGCTTTGATACGCCGCAGTGTACAGAAAGGCAAGTAAAATGGTAACTTCAACTATTGAATAACTAGTGAAATGTGATAAGTCCAAAAAGAAGACTAACAAAGTAAAACACAGTTGAATGCAGACATGAAAAGATACGAGGATACGGAGGTATGTACCTCCTCCTAAGTTTGAACTTAATTCATAGACATGAAGGTAGTGCTTCCAGTTAATGGAAAGCCAGCTGGACATGAGACAGGTATACTCATGGCTGAATAAAATAATCACAGACTTTATCATCTACATCTCAGAACAATGATAAGCAACAGAACCTGTATTGAGGATGCGTTGGAGCAAACGCAGAGAGGGAAGGAAAAACCTGAGGTGTTTACCTTTAAATATCCATGGGCATCAGCAACAATAGTTGTTCCGTGTTAAGAATAAACGAAAGTGGGAGACAAGAAACAGATTGTTGTTTACTTTTTCGAAGCTCATTATCAAATCCGCCAGAAAAGAGTCTGCAGGGATCTTGAAAGGCCAAAAGGATAGGTGAATAATTGAGTAGAACAACTCCTACAAACACTTGTGTAAGACTGCAAATTGTACTTGAGTAACTAATTTTCGACTCCGCTTTCTGAAGCAACTGGATAGTCACACTTCGGGTTTCTTTGGTAAAATATAAATAAAGACCGCTGCGGGAAAGCGCGTAGATGTACACAAAAACTTGAAATGAAATATGGCAGCTTTCGGCTACAGAGTGTCCATTTTTATGTACTCCGGCAAAACTATATGCTTTAGGTGGGTATGCAACCCGGCATGCACAAATGTCATTGACCGCACAGTGCGCTCTTTGGCGTGAAAATGAGGAACAAGCAACACAGCTCACAGCTCCAATATGCGTTAATATAATTATTCTGAAAAATGGAAGAAAATCCTAAATATCCTCATTTAAAAATCTTGGCTGAAATTCCGGTTGCCCTTCATCTGCTATTCTTCTTTATCCTTTTTATCTTTAATAAATCCCCCCCCCTCCCCCATGGGAGATTGATTCACAGCAGAATGAAATTAAAATGAAAATTTAAAAAGTCATCACTTTCGGAACATCTCCATTACCTCTGTTATTTTGACTGCACAGCCTTTCTAGATGATGCGGAGGATAGCACATTACTTTCAACACCATTTCTCTACCTTCAGATTGTAATGCGGCAATTGTTGCTACAGGAGTGTTTGCAAAGGCTCGTCTTATTTTTTCTTATTGAAGTCGTTTTTTACGTTTCTGCCGGAGCAACAATTGCCGTCTGGAAAGTTGAAAGCAAAAATTAATTTATCTTAAAAGTCCCTTAATTTTTTCCCAGTATCGTCCGGAAATTCTTTGAAGGCCAAAATTCGTTGGCCATGCCCAATTTTTTGGTTGAGATGTTGTCTTTGCTATAGTAGATTTAGGTGAGACATCAGCTGTTACTTATATTGTCTTTTTTTTTTTTTTTTTTTTTTTTTTTTTTTTTTTTTTTTTTTTTTTTAATTGTTTTTGATTGATCAGTAGAAATAGTGAAAGGAGGCTTCTGTGCGTACTGCTTCCCATAGAAATTTTTGACCAGAGTGATGATTTTGTACATGAGTTTTATCACACAATGTACACAATTTTCAAAGGTCCGGAGGGTTGATTTATTCTCCGCAGCTTCGTACATCTTTGATCTAACTTTGGTACTTCAACAGGAAAATATCTTTAACTTTGATTTTTAACTATTATTCATTTTGAAGTTCAAGCTTGTCTAAAAAGTCTGTTCTGACAATTTTTATTCCTTTTTAAATAAGGATACCAAAAATGAAGGAAGAAAAAAAGATGTCAATCTGAAGTGAAAATTAATCACTGCCTATCAACATTTTTTGACTATAGCAGAGCCTGAGAGTATGGAAGGTACCTTCCATACTCTCTGGACTATAGTGAAAGGTACAGCTATGTTCAATTTTCATCTTCCTTTAAAGTTTGAACACAGTAGGGTACATATCATCCGATAAAACGGAATAAACAGTCAGTCAATTATCAACAAAAATATAAACGTATATTCGTAACAACGATTACAATTTGTACAAACATGTTGTATCAGTCTAGATATTCAATGCTCTTATTTATACTTTACACATTTACCTGAACAATTGGATTAGTTAAATTCACCCACTCATTAAGTTCTCAAAAGAGTACAAAAAAATGAACTTGTTTATTTCCTTACATACATACATGAATAAAAGTAATTACAAAAGACAAAGAAAAGGTTCACCTATGATTATTATTAATTTCCTTTTTCATTTTCAACGATAAGCAACATTGTGAGAGGATGAACAAATACAAGAATCAAGATAGTGTAGAATATCAACAGGCAGGCAACCACTCTACTCAAGACTACATACAGATACTTTAGCTCAATATTCGACACTGTCGAAAGTAATTCTCTATTAAAAATGTTGCATAAATGTTTTACAGACAAAACCTTTTAATTTCAATTAAAGAAATATGTGTATACAATGCAGCTGTCATATTTGATAAAGCAACAGGAATGAAAAGTCAGTATAAAGGCATAGCAAAGGAATTTTTGATGGTTCGAATTCGTTCAGTACTGGATTTGAAAATGGACGTTTTGCAACTTTAAAATTTTGGGTAAAAAATTACCTAAAATTTTAAAAGACCCAAAATATGTTGATCTCATTTATCGCTCACTAATTGCATAAAAATTTTAAAACATACTTTGTCTGCACATTTGACACACAATTAGATCTTAAAAGACGGACTCCAATATCGAGAAAAATCTTAGGTTAGAAATTTAGGCAATCAGATAAACTTTGTCGAAAAGGAATCAAAAGAATGAGTGCATTTTAAGATCACTCATCTGAATGTGGGAATCAATGAGGATTATGCTGTTCATGAGATGGGCTAAAAACGTTGGCTCTGTTATGATAAACACTAATTAACTGTTAGAAGTATTGAAAACATAGAAAGCTCTTACTCAAATGATTGAATATTAAGGTAAACAACTTCAATGAGAGAAAATCAATGATTAGGTTCTTTGAAAGACAGAATACAATCAACTTTTATCAGACTTTGAGAGGCATGCTGGAATGACGATTAAAAGACCAATGGTTATTCAATAAAAGTACGATTCTTAGACCGGATTCTTCTCTGAAATATTACACTTACTGTTGCGAGAGGAAAAACACGGATGTTTCTTACAATTTTAAACTTAATCTTTAAAGGGTTGCTGAGAAATAAATCCTTAATGCTTATTTTAAAAAGATTCTTAAACTCTTACCTGTGATATTATAAAACACGGACTGAATTTATGCTTGAACAATAAATTGAGGCTTTCAAGAAAAGATAATTAAAACATCAGTTGGCGTAAAATGTTTTAGTACTGCGCTGCAGAATGACCGATAGCAGGTACATACAAATTGTGCAAATCAAGTAAAAGAATGAGCGAATTTTCTTGATCTTGAATAAATAGTGGCAAATAATGGCTTTAGACGTTCTAAAAACTCTGGTAGGGAAATATTTGGGCCTAGGCTTCTATCCCTCAAAAAACTATCTTTTAATAAATGGATAGTTCTTATAATATCCACTTATTTACACATTTAAGATCAATGATTAAACAAACTAATTTAATTATAATTGCGAAATAAAAACACAAAGAATGAGGCGCCGAGCATCAAAACCTAGAATCTCTGCTTTTTTCAAAAATGAGGTTATGAAAGTTTAGAAGTTTAAAAAATTTGATAAAGTCGTTATTTCAATGATTATGTCACGATATTTAGAACTTGACAAATATCGTACATTTTAAAGACCTATGAACTACAAAAAAAGCACACTCTCATAACTTTTTCGTACTTCTTGACCAGAGTGTTAACACATTTTCCGAACGGAGAGCCATTGTGTGCGTGTTCCTGCTAAGCCAAAAAGTCACCCAGAAAAACGGCAAGAAGTAAACAACTATTATTGAAGATCATTTTGATGTTATTGCAACCTTGTGATTAAGTCCAAATTACCGACTCAAGGATTAATTCTATGGTAAATTTGAAAGAAGGGTTCTTATCTCTTTACAACAAGCTGAAGATCTGTTTCAAAATAGACCAATCACCACAAGCATTTAGCCCCACATGGTCTAAAAAAGTTTGTATGACTGGCAAGGTAGGAAACATGTTACATGCAATAGGAAATTTGAAAAAATTGCTAAAATATTAGAAAACTACCGATCGAAATGATGTAAACTATTGATTACACAAAGTAAACAGCCAGTATTTAATTATCAACCACACTTGAAGCGCTGGGTACAGAAAGGACACTTCCCAGCTGCGCTGTCTCAGAATCTCCACTGGAATTTCATTAATTATGACTTATGATTATGATGAAGACATCTTTATGTGCTTCTTTGAAACTTATACTATATTCTTTAAGATTTTACAATGCTTTGGACGAAAAAGTTCAGAAAATTCAACAAATAGGTGCTCTAAAATATAAACTGGAAATTCTGGAACTAAAAAGTACCCTTCCTGCACTTAGCACTTCCATTCACACAAGAGGTAAATTATTAAAATGAAATCTGGTTCTCTTTCGAATATTCCTCAAGGTTTGGAATTTTTTTCGCCTGGGCCCCCCTCCCCATACATATGACTTGTTTGTTAGAGAACTGAAATCCTTTGACTGACAAATTTCATTCACGTTCATGCGTGAATTCACAAATTGAACTGTTGCAAGCTCTTCATCAATACTTTGCTGCACCTCAAACGAATCTTGTTTTTTATTCATTAATAGTGTAAAACAAAATTATTAGAGTAAAGTTTTGTACAATAAAAATTAAGTCTGTAGAGGAGGTTTACAGAAAAAAAAAAGTTGCTACGCTATTAATAGTGATTCAACTTAATGTGAGATAAACAAAATTTCCTGAATTGCCAATTTTCTGAGAATTACTTGCTTTTTCATTCTCTTTAGGATCTTGTTGCTGGATTATACTTGATTTAGATTGGTTGAGATTTAATCAAATATCCATATTACTCAACACTTTACAGTTCATGAAGTAAATGATTTTATACTGCAAAATTTGTTGAATTTTTCTTGTGCATAAACGCAAATACACAAGCAGCAGCCTGAATATTGAAACTATGTTGGCAAGACAAGACAATACATGACATAGCCCTATCTTAATCATGTAATTAATCCCATTGCGATGTCATATATGGCTGCTGTAAACTTGCAATAATCAGCCTACTGACAAATCTGCAATTCAATAATTGAGTATTTGTCATGGAGTCATGCCTAAAATCCTACTTAGAAAAAAAAAGTTACAAGCAATACTAGGATGTCCGTTGGAATCTTATTAAATCGCAACTTTCCCTCCAGTTGCCTTAAACTGTTGTATTCTCTGATTCTGAAGTGAGGTGTAATTTTTGGTCCAGTTTCTGCTTCTTCTTGCGGCCTTTCAAGGTCTTGATTTGTTTCTTCTTCAGAGCAGTCACCTCTTTTGTTGCCGCTTCTCAGGAACCTTTTTTCTTCCTACCTGGTTTCTTCTTTTTGTCTCCTTTCTGAGATTTCAAAATTGAACACACGGGGCAGAACCATTTGGTGGAGTCAGGGGCAACTTTGAGGCCAAGACAAGACCTGCGAGAGGAAAATTCAAATTAATTTCATCAAAAGATAGAAACCTGAGAAACTATACTGGCACTGCTTAGAAGCTGAAATCAACACAAATGAATCCTTAATAAAAAGCCATTTGCAAAATAGAAAATGTATTATCCTCATTTCTGGAGTGTGTTTCCATGTTTTTGACATCAACATCATCGTCATGATGAACCGAATGCTTGTTTTCCTTCACATTTTTTCAATATCTCACTGTTACCAAGATATTCGAAAGAATTGTTAAAATCACAAGTGTACAGAGTCTCAATCATTTCATTCTAATTAAGATATGGGTTTTTGAAAGTTTGAGTTTATCCCAAAAACACGATGATCAATCATGCTTTTGAACAGAGTCAAAGAGATTTAGTGATTCAGGCGATTAGTGCCATGACTTATGAGGAGGGACCCAAAAAAAAACCGGAATTTTCCTGTAACTTGGCATCGATGGAAAATATTCGGGTTCCAATGCTAGAAGGTGTAACAAGGAGCTATGAAGAATCATTAGGCCAAATTTTAATGTCGTGGCACATTTACTTTCATTCTGGCGAGACTTGGCCTCGAGGTTGTTAGGTGAGTTTGTCGTTTTTGAAGATAGGTGATTTTCACGGGCAATTCTAGGGTAACTCAGTCAATTTTTTAGGTGAATCTTGCAGAGAACATGCTTTAACTATGGCATAAGTGAACAAATGTTTTTCTTTGTTTTCATTTGTGATTTATTGATTGAACTTCGGCTGGATGCCAAGCGGTCAACACCAACTAGAACACTAAATGGGGGATCAATTCGGTAACAATGCACTTGAGGCCCAAATTTTTCACAGCAATGTTTAAATATTTCTGTATTACATTCAAGTGGTATCTGCTTGTTAAATAAATGATCTCTAACCGTCTTCATTCACAAAAATGCGAATTTTTTCATTATTTTCATCGGTTCTAGCCAATGGCGATGGTGGTCTGGAGCCATTCAGAAGTTTCAGACGATACAGCACCATTTTTAAAGCAAAAAACCTGATTTACATTGAAGTTTTTGATGAAGCTTGTCCTTAAGAAATAGTACTTCAAAATGTTAACAGAGACAGCCGTGTTTTTATCGAGTAAGAGAGAAAAATTTGAGCGCTAGGTGTTGTTGCTGAAGTTGACCCATCTTCAAAAACGATGAACTTGCCAATCAACCCCTCAAGCCAAGTCTCGCCAAAATGTTAGAAAATGTGCTATGACGTTGAAATTTGGCCTAATGACTCTCCATAGCTCCTAGTTACACCTCTTAGCGGTGGAATCCGAATATTTTCCATTGTTGCTAAGTTACAGGAAAATTCCTGTTTTTTTTGGGTCCCTCCTTGTAAAGATCGATCTAGTTTTCATGTGATTTCCCATTAGCCTTTGAATTTCAATTATTAGCCTTCTACATTTCTAGCCTCATCAACTCGACTAACTAATTGCTGTCAAGGCTATCCTCAACAGCAGGCTGATTGTTGAAATTGATACACAGCAAAATAGATAGAGAGGACAAGAGGAAAATGGAACATTCCTATTGGCTGAAACATATGGTTGTGGGAGATTAGGAGAGAATATTAGAGACTAACTATAGACTCCCTCGTGGATTGCTGCTAGTTAGTCTACTACTCACCTCCTTTGTCCATTGCAACCAACCACTTCCACCAATAGGATCCCTCCATTTCCTTTTTGTCTATTGCTTTGTCTTTCAATTTCAACAATCAGCCCAAGGCTTGTCCGCCCTAATCATCCTAAGACAGTCCTCAGTCATAGAGAAAATACAGATGGTGGTGGCAAGCGGAGAAATGTACTTTTCTACGTCACAGCTAAAAATGAAGCCGCCCTTCTGATTGGTCAAGAGGATCGCGGGAAAACCGAGACCTCTTTGAAATTTAAAAGGGAGCGGGAAAGGTTGTGAGGTTCCCACTTATTTCAGCTCTAAAAACTCGTAACTATGACTTTTTATGTTTCAATATGTTTTACTATCAATGTTCGACTGTAACTGAAAATAATTTGTAAGTTAAAAATATATATTTCATATAATAACAACTTTTACCTCGACTCGTCCCGTTTTAAAGGTATAACCATGTTAAATTACGTTCTGTGCGTCAAAAAAGCAGAAATTGGAGAGTCATGGTAACTAAAGTTCAATTATACGACTTTCAATGTTAGTTTGAGTGGTGATGTAGGTCTTCATACAGGTTCCATCATGCAATGCATGAAATGTACTGTTTTTTGAACAGCGCGCCAGTCCATGTACTTTTCTAGGTCACAGCAAATCTTCAAAATAGCTGCCTTGCCACCACCTTCTGTATTTTCTCTGTGGTTCTCAGTTACTCTAGTGGCATTGTTAGTCATTGCTAAAAACTTACCAATGATACCAGGCGTCACAGCCATCACAGCCAATCATGGGAGTACCATCATCCTGACGTCCGCAAGCTGGACAAATCCAAATTTGAGCGCCGGACGGATCCTGTGAATTGTAAAGTTGAACAGCAGGAAAATTAGAAAATTATGCTGAGCCTTCACGTAAAACACACCGGAGGTAGAATATGTGATAAACTTATACTAGAAAGAGAGGATAATATACCTGCACTTTAACAAGATGTATCATGTTTTAGGTCAAAATGTGACAGGAAAATAAAATTGGAGTGAGGCAGGTATTTGAAGAGATGAGGTAAGCAGTGCAGTAAGATAGAAACAAGATGTAAAGAAAATAGAAGACAAAGTGTAAGTTGGGAAAAAGTAGCACAGACAAGACAGAGGTGAGCAGACTGACAGAGATCTCAGGGTGTAGTTATAGAAATGGGACTTATGGGTGTCGAATGTGCATTTAACCAGAGCTCAATTCTTGCAAAAAATTTTAGGGGCCCATATGGGTAGGTTTTTTTATCTTAAAAAGCTACCAGTGCCTGTGAATAGGTTGAGTTTTTTGGTTCCTGATGAAAAAAAAAAATCTTCCACTGGTTACTCCCCGTAATAAGAGACATTTTTTGTGAAATCGTATTCATACATTAAATCCGAATAAAATGTTCAAAAGGAGAAGATTTTCTTCACATGATGAGTTTCTATCTTGGATCTAAAGAGAAACTTGTATCTCCTGAATCTTGAAACTCTCCATTTCCAGTAACATAAGTATAAACTTTTTAGGATGGCTTACAGTTTTTACCCCCAATTTCTTGGTTTCTTGTCCAACAGAAGAATTACAAAAGAAAAACGCAAATCACCCTAAAAGTTTGAGACCCAATAAAAATGAGTCTTACCAACTCAAAAGTACAAACACAATCGTGTTTGATTCCAACAGAATACCTAACATAGCGGCATGCATCTTAGGATTCCATCTAATCAACGGATAAGGATGTTGCTTGTTACTGGGAGCTATACCAATTCGAGCATTGAGAAAAAAAGATGATGCAATCATGAAGGACCAACGTACGCCCAATAAAGGGAGGCAGTTAACGAAAAAATAAAATGTAAAAAGCATAAATGGTAAAAGAGGTCAGAAACGGATGTTTTCCTTAAAAATTTTGATTTGGTTTAAAGCCCGTTTTCTGACTGTTGCTTTAAAAAAGAGGTCTTAGTTTTGCCTTGAGGGACTAGGCACAGGCACATATTCCTGAGATAATTTAGCGCCGGCTAGTTTTTTTTATTTGATGGAATGTTTCTAACGACTTCCTGAACACGATCAGCCATTAAATTCGAATTTTATATGTGCCAATGTTGAGAAAAGTAGGGTTGAAAAAAAGCAGCCCTAATTTTCTCCAGACTGGGGCATAAGAGGTTCGATTTGAAAAGCTCACTGTGTTCAGGAGGTTATAAGGGGCATCATATCAAATGAGGGGCTTGGAGGACAAGGTACATAAGTGCAGTTTTTGCTATTTCGAGAAATATGTGTTCGAAGTTTCGAAATTACATAGATCCTTATGCAGAAAGAAAGTTCGAACGGACTCCTTGATGCTTAAAAATTGGAATTTGGGAGCGAATTTTTCACAAAATATGCATTAAGACTAGTTTCACCTGAAATCAGCTTTATTTCTTCAAAAACTGCACTTGTTCTCCAAGCTGCTCAAATAATATCAAAATTTAGCCGGCCCCGAATTTCTAGGCATTACATACAGAATACTTGAAATGGAAAGCCAATGGTTTGCTTTCAAGTTTTGATGTACGTCAAAAGTAATTAAAAACAAAAAATGGATTAATAAAATATTTTACAAACTCTTACTGAAGAACTCTTAAAAAATGAAAACGGTGGTTGGGGTTTAAGCTGAAGGCCAGGAGTTATTTACAAGGGGTGTATTAAACGGGTGTTTATTTTAATAACGCAAACATATACATTTTTGTTAGCTGAGTGGTTATTATTAGGCAAAGCTGGTTATATTGGCTGCCTCATTTCTGTTAAGTAAGCAAACAATAAGCTGCAATGCATTGAAAGAAAAGTAGAGCAGAAAAGTAGAAAAAAAATACGTCATGACTCAAATTGGTCAGTGTACACAAGCACTACACCCGGATCGATTGGTGTTGAGGTCAACTTCGATTACAGATGATCTTCTTTCCTGTCCGTTGTTGAAATGATGATTATGGTTTGATGAAGAGTAGGGTGGCGTTTCAACTTCAATTTTAATTGATGCATGACCAAGGAAAAGACAAATTTAAAATTTAAAAGCATAGAGCAACTTAAATGTGAAGCTCTTGCTACGGATAAGATTCAACTGATATAGCTTTGCTGTCTTGATTTTGACAAGGAAATTCAAAATTAGACTCACTTTCACAGAGACCAAAAGATTTCAGAGCAGAATTGAGTCTGTCTGATGAATATTTCACAGGGAAAGAGAAAATAAATGAATTTACATTAATTTAACAATTTTAAAGCTTGGTAAAGTAAAATTAAAAATGATGTTTGTAAGAAGTCGGAGAGTTGCTCAGAAATTTTTGATGATGGACTGATAAATGTGCTATTTTGAAAAAAATTTAGAGGAAATGAGAAACTTCAAACATGAAAGAATTTTGTAAGGTGAGCGTTTGTAGATGAAATGAAAGAAGACGAAGATGAAATGATTGACGGAAACTCACCACCACTTCTTTTTTGCTCCTTTTTTGGCGCTTGATTACAGCTTCTGGTATTGCTTCTAACCTCCTGGAGTTCTTTTCTGCATGATGGTATAAGAGAATAATTACAAGATCAGATCCCTTGCAATTTTTCAAGAGTGATAAAAAATGCTCAACCTTTCAGGTACCAAATCTCCACTTTTAATCTTCCATAGTGATCATTTTGGCTGCATAATTTTCTACAATATGATCCGAAGGTTCTGCACCACCCTGATAACTTTTTTGTTAAGTAAGCTGTCGAGTTGAAACTTTGAAGGTGTTGCTGACTCAAAACAAGCTATTTTTTACCCCCCCCCCCCCCCGAAATTTTGTTTTTTGGAGGTATCCCCAAGGTTGTTCACAGACTCTATTTCAAATGGCAATCCCTACTCTGCGATACATCATTGGAGAGGGAATGAAAAAAAAAAAAAATGTAGCACGAAGTTTAGAGTTTTAGGTAGCACCGTTTAAAATTGCTGAAAAAGGTAAGTAGGAAAACAATCTAGGAATAAACGTGCTTCAAACTTGGTATCTGGGGCTGTGAAATGTTCAACACTAATTTGAACATAGTTTTTCAAAATAGTCACTCCTCCTCAAGATAAAGGCCTTGAAATAGCGGGAAACAAATATTTTTTATTATCTCGAATGGTTTTGCTTCAAACTTGTTATCCGCTCAGAAAAGCAAAAAAAATAGCTAACTTTGATTCAAGAACACCCCCAGGGATTTAATTTGATTGCTCACTTAGTAAAAAAGCTATCAAATGCATCTAATCAGATTATTACGGGGAAGAGAATTTGAAACACAGCAATCACTCTGCTTTGTTTAGTAGTTTGAGCTTCGATGATATGGATTTTGTGGTGGTCGCTGCATTGAGAGATGTTAAGGAAAACATGGTACTTAAAGGGTTTAAAAAGTTGGAATGATAAGTTAGTGATCAAAGAGCATTTGAGTTGAGATGTTTGCAGAAGGTCAAAAATACTCATATGACTGTTGAGAAAACTAGTTCCTGAGAATTTACAGAAAAATATTTATGATGGGATACTATTACTTATTAGAATACTGATACTGTGCTAAATTTTTTCTTGCTCTTGAATTTAGTAATTTTTGAACATTTTGGCTTGAAGAGATACTCAGTGTCAAAAATTGTCAGAATGAAAATTAAAACTGAGAAAATTGTATATTCCACTTGTAAATTAAGGATAATAACAGAAAAGAAAAAAAAAGAAAAAAAAAGGAATGATTTTCATGCAATAGAAAACTTGGCAAGGTTAGAGATAATCATTACAATTTAAGTTTCCACTTCAAATTTTGCGCAGAATACAGGGATTAAACTTAAAATTGATTGAAAAATCAAAGATTAACTTATTTCATTATTTTAATTCAAACCTTCCACAAAATAAAAAAACTGAACGTCAAAACTTCAGACAGTCAAATTGGGTATTGACTTAATTTCACAGTGTTTCACCATGGAAAGATTTTCTTTGCTAAATTTTTCTTGCCAATTTTACAAATGGCGTGCAAGTATTTAAGGAGGTGGGACAATTTTGTAAAAACAAACTTTGGTTGTTTGATGAAGGTTAGAGTTCGTTTCTGATGGTCGATTTCACTTACAAAGATTTTGAATTTTACAGTGAGCAGAAATTTAAATAAACTATTTCTGATGTTCACTGCTAATACTAAATCCTGTCGAAAGAGTTTATTTTCGAAGTTTAAATATTCTCAACAGGTTCTGCATAAAATTTTGATGAGGAATAAGTCTCGCAATGCTTTACATCATACTAAATTACATATTAATTTATTTTAACAACAAGGAACATCTCAAAAACTGTGCGCAAAACTATGGGTACTACTTGACGTATAAGGAGAATCATGGTTGGATTTTGATACTTCTACGAAAATCGACGGATTGGTGAGAGAAAGAAATAGGAGTTAAGTGAGAACATACTTTTCACAAACGACAGATTTACTATACTCTCAAACACCTGAAAATGACCGGAAGTTAGTATTTACATATTATAGTTTCTCCGTTTCGAAATTTTGTTGCATGCAAACACACAAAAGATGAAGCAGAGACAATGAGCTCAAAAGCTCACCTCCATCATGAAATCGTGGAATAAGTACAAGAAGTTTGGAAGATAGAACGAAGAGTAACAAAACTTTATTCATTGGGAACTCAGTTAAAAGAAACTGACTCTCCTGGGGCTCAATTATTTCACAACACCAATATTCATGCACATTAGTGTAAAACGATCCCAAAACCATTCTCAAACACAAAATAAGGTATGATGATGCACATGGAAACAAAAAAAAGAAGAGAAAATGAGTGATAGAAATAGCAAACGTTGAAAAATGGTAAAAGAGAGATAAAAGGAGGAAAGGCCACACTTAAACATGATACACCTCGGTTAAGGATTAGTAGGATATTGGGAATGAAATCCAGAATTCTGCATTTTCTCCTGATGGAAACAAGATTAGAGCTTCTTAAAAGTCCCATCAAACACCTTGTTTTGGAGTCCATCTAACCTAACATCATTTCAAGTCTGCAGGGAGAACTTCTCAACGTACTAAGGACAAATCTTAAATGGAGGCCTTATGAGCCTTTAAACGTTGCCATATTTCCTTCAATAAAAATGAATTTACTAGGAAAATTATATGTTTTCCTTCAAACTTTCCAGACAATTTTGTTTGAAATTTTATCCAAACTATCTAAATACTTCAAGGAAAAATATTCACCAATTTCCTCACAGATACATGTTTTATCCAGGGCAAATGTCTAAACGGCATTCTTCCTAGGCATGGCGGAACAGCAAAAGAAATTTGTTCAAAATCGATGCAGACTTTGCACGTGTTTTTTAGCGCTGATTTTAATGTAGCACCTTAAAAATGATTTTTTTTTTAATCTGATAAACATGAAAAGTTATCATAAATTAATATTATTTGAAGATTAATTTTGAATTTGCATCCATCAATATTAGCAAATTATGACTTCAGTTTAGTAAACATCATGTTGAATTTATATTTAAGCCATTGAAGCATAAGTACATCCTCCCTTACGCTCAAAATGAAAGAAGTTCCTTTGGTTTGTGATTTAATTTTCTTTACTTTTAAAGGGAAGTCATCAAGCAAACCTGATCTTACTGCAGCAAAACATTGAAAAATTTCCTCTCGTGTTTTTCTTCTTCATGGGAAAACCACGCAACATCAATAATCATCATTGTTTTAGAAAGAAGCTAAAGTTTCAAAATATAAACTTTTTTTACGTGAAAATATGCTTTTTAATTAGCTCAAAATCATCCTTAAATTTTTTTTTTATTTCACTAGGTTCCTATTCCATAAATGCTGCCCACTTTTTCTAGATAGTTACTTGAAATATTTCTGCTTCTAACCGGTACCCGGTACATTGGATGTTATTAACTAAAAAGAATTCATCTACTACTGGTGCTTTGGAACCAACTTCTGTGATAGATATGTGTTTTTTCTCAAAACTCAGGTAGATTGATTCTGCTTACTTAACCACATCCACACAAAGAATGGAATAACCTGCATGTATGAATAACCGATAAATGAGATAGGGGTACTTACAAAATAGAAAGGCTTAACTTCTTTCCCATTTTTAATCTGCTCAGCAAGCTCTACGAATTTCTGTGGATTCGGAAGGGAGGAGTTGAATGGGTACTGTGCAGCAGACGCTGCAGGAGGGGTTTCAACAGAGGACACACTGGCGACAGGTACTTGAGGATTGGGAGTTTGTTTGAATTTGACGGAAACTTTGGGAACGGAGGCGTCCGAGGTGCTAACATCAGACAGAGCGACTGAAGACTTTCGTGAATTAACGTCACTGGGTTTCTTACTCTGAGACTTGACTTTAGACTTTTTGGGCGGTGTAACCGTTTCATCACCTTTCTCCAGTTTCATCGCCACGCTTTCCGATTCTTTCTTCATCACAGGTTTGATCACACTGTAGGGGACAAAAAAAAGATTATTTTTAAGTGGCTATTGTACTGGGTGAAAAATGCTGAACTTGTGCATTACGAGTGTACACCAATGGTAAGACTGGAAAAACATGTACCTTGCTTCATAGTATTACAAGCTTTCTTGTACATTTTATTGCAATGAAAGAAAACAAATCAGTTTTTATTTGCAAAATTTTTTTCTGTTAATTTTTTTAAATACCTAAAAATATTCTTCAAATATATCGGTCAATTTTTTCAGTAAAGAAACTATGAGGGAGAGGATTTTAAAATTGCAATCCATGAGTACAATAGTTTCTGGTGTCACCATTGAAACATTACATGACCCGGAAGAGAATTTTTGATTAGCACTAAGAAGTTATTCAATTGGCACAGATGAAGTTTGTTGCTGATCTTGAACAATTTTCCTCATGTATGAAATCTGCAGAACCATGAAAATCGAGATATTGAGGATAAAACTGCCTTTCACCAATAAATAATGCCAAGATATATTCATTTTAAATAATGGCAGCCATCTCTATTACACTTCTGGTCTAAACTGAATATTTGCCTCTATTCCCATGCTTTCTTGTCAGAGCAATAGAATTTTCTGACTTCATTGGAATATTGGATAAAAATCAACATTTTTCTGTCATGATATAATTTTTTTATAATTTTTTCTAGCGCTAAGTTATAATACATCTCATGGTCCCCAGGTTGCAACGAAAGAATAAGAAAGGAATTATTAGCATTTATTGAAAGTCGCAGATACTTTGCTCAAGCTCTCTCCTCTGTTGCTCTCTTATTTTTATCCTCCTCCTTTTTGGTATTACAAGAAGTAATGCTCCTTCTGCTCATAAGGGTTTCTTGGCCGATTATTTTTCAAAAGAAAAGAGCACAAGTCTTATCTTTATATCACTGTTATTATACAATCCTCAAAAACAATCTTGATATTTCGATTTCACAGTGCCTACATAAGTTCACTACAGCCGATGTTATGCCACCAGGCGCACCCGGCTTAACGCACCCTCCATCCTGATCGAGGGGGGTAGCGTTCCTCAGCAAATTTTGTTATACCTAAAGTAAATTTCCTTATTTAACCTGTATATTGTCAAATTTGTAAGCCAATATGGCATTTGTAATTAATCTATTGCTGAATAAATAATAATAAAAAAAAAAAAAAAAAAAAAAAAAAAAAAAAAAAAAAAAAACATAAGTTCACTAATAAACATGAATTTTCTAGACACCACGCTCAGTTACCTAGATCTTTTAGATTATTTTTGAAAAAAATGACACAGACTTGAATAGTGCGTATTGGGTCATTGATCAGACTGGACAAGCCACAACATCCTGCGGCAGTTTAACTTTTTCCTTTTTTTAATTTCACTTCAAAGTATGTGTGGAATTATGGATGAGAAAAAAAATGAGAAACAAGTCAATATAAAACTCACCTTTTCCTATTTTCCAAGGAGTATCAAAGAAAGTTAAAAAAGGAATACAAAATTATTAAAAGTGTGCATTTTTGACAGATGAAACTAGGTGAAAACAGAAAAGTGCTGACAGTGTGTATATTATCAATACTGTGTCTTAGCAATCAATGGGTGAAGTTTTAAATTCGAGATCTATAGGTATTAAAACAAACACACACGCACATTCACAGTATCGGCGACTTATGTCAGTCAGGAACATGGTAACTTGATCAAACCTGCTGTCTCCCTAGGTCTGTTTGGATTTTAAGGTCCGAGAAAGTTCAAGAATAAAATTATAGATTGAGATGAATTGTTGACACGATAACTCCAAGATTTATAGCTTTGCTGAGGTAAAATAAACTTTTCCTTGTCCAAAGCTTTTGCCTTTTATTTTTGCATTGAAAAACTCCATACTGGCAAGAGGAAAATGACACTGGAGGACATCTTATGATCTCTAACATTGAGTCATAATTCAAGAAAAAGAGTAAACTCTGACTGTTTTAGAAAAATTTAGTGCATACACCTAATTATGATTAAGTATAAAGCCTGAATATGAACTAAAGAAGGTTAACAAATTTTACATTACAAATGTGGGTGTTGTACACATGTGCTGGTAAAATGAGAAGACAAGCAAATACCAAATTTAATCTTGAACCGGGCTTTAAAATGATCGGTCCAGCGATCCCACTGTAAATCAACTAGTTTACAAAAAATCATAAATCAGATGGGAAAATGAATTGGACTTGAAAAAATCTTTGATTTAAGCTTGAATCGTAGTGGACATGTGCACCAGCAAATTGAAATGGTGAGACTACGATGAGTACGACAGGCTAGACACAGTGTTAAAAGGAATTAAATTAAATTTAAGAAAATATACGCAAAGAGTTTAACTTACATCTTTTTCATGGATGTTTCAGGGATCGGTGTTGGAGTAGGGGGCTTGATGTCTGTAGCAGGAGCATCTGTTTCTAATTTCAACGTGAGTTTAGGAACTGCTGAATCGTCTGCAGCCTGCAAGAATAAATAAAATTATAAGTTTGATGATTGTGACAATATATGAGTGTCATGATTTTTCAAAAATGAATCATCGAATTTAATTTTACCTTTACAATATTATAAGCTTCCTTTCAAAATATCATAACATTTTGAACATTTTCACGTCAATATTTTTGTCAACAAATTGACCTCGTTCTCTCTAATTGGGGTGTCTATTAAAATTACATTTCAGATTTTCCTGATATTTTAAATGAAATTTCCTGATGTTTTGCAAGAAACATTGACACTTGCTTTGATTTTTAAAACCAACATATTTAATGAATTAAATAAAATGTTTCACTTTTGCATGTGCTCAACTGCATAAAGTTGAAAAATTCTTGATGCATTCTGAATTTCCTGATCCATGACCGATTTTCCAGATTTTTCCAATTTTTATTAACAGTGGACACACTGATAACAATATTTGTATAGCTATATGTAAAACAGTTGCTCGTACATTTAACTTGTTGCATAACATCTGTAAATTCATGTAAAAGAACTTTGAGTGTTGTTCACTGCTTTGTTTGGTGTGCTTTGTTTTAACAACGACCTCGAAAGGACGATATTTTCAGGTTTTACTATCATTGCAGCACGAACAGCAAACAATACATTTAAGCGTCTTGAAAGAAGGGAAAGACCAATGTTCTGCTGTTGAATTATTCACTCGGAACTCCAGAAACCCTTTAATGCACCGAAGCATTCTCTCTAATTTTGTATTCCTTTCCGGAGATCTAAAGTATTCTTCAATGCTTTGCTAATTTCTCAGACTTCGAGTATTTTCGAAACACAAAATGATTTATGTATTCCTGTAATTATTTGTTAGAGTTTCCACGGGTTTGAACATGCATTAACTGAATAATTCTACAAAATAACGAAAAACAAAGTGGCAATAAATTAGGTTTAAAAAATTGAAAGACTAATTTATTGATCAATGGAGAGTTTGCAGGTGTCTGAAATATTGTAAATTTCATGTTTAAAATGAAGAATTACTAAGAGAATTGAGAGCAAGGATATCCTTGCTTTCTGAATCGGACAATTATTAGAGGAGAGATGACAAAATAACTTAATTTGCTAAAATACATGTGTTTAGATGGGAAATGCTGCCAGATGACGCCATAAGGCGACACATTTTCTCACTTTTAAAACTTATTTTTTACTGTTTTCCATAACAGAAAAAAATTATGAAAAATACTGCAAACTCAGCTCATTAAGTTCTTTCACATGATGCAATAAAATTTTTGTGGGCAAATCCTCCATCGGTTGGATTTTAAAAGATTGAATTAAATATTTTAAAGAGTGTGAAGGAACAACATGTACATGTCGCCACTTACCTCAGGTTTATCCTTCTTTTCTTTCCGTTTTTCTTTCTCTTTCTTGAGAATTTTCTTCATTAGTTTTTTCTCTGCTTTTTCCTTCTTCTTCGCAGCTTTTTCCTTCAGTTTTTCTCTGAGCTTTAGTTTCTCTTTGTGCTTTCTTTTCTTGTGTTTTTTGTCCTTTTTGTGATCTTTCTTCTAACAGAAAAATGCAAAATTTCACATTTTTAGGATTTCACATTAATAGGCCTTTGTACCAAGTGAGAAATACAGCGCTACAAGATATGTTTCCTCATCAACATTTGACAATGAATATTCTTAAGAAGTCTAAAATGAGCTTTTAAATGAAAAATAGACGTTTATAGCTTTTAACACAGGGCTGCCACAAAATTTAGAAAATGAAATTCCCTGACATTTCCCTGATTTGCCTGACACATTTTAGTGAAATTCCCTGAAGATTGAGGATGTGCCAGATGGTTGACAAGACATTATTAGGAATAGTTTACAGACAAATGTTTAGGTCGAAAAGTCAAACCCATTCCAGACAGTAAATAAAGGAGACCCAACACTTCTCCCTGACATTTTCGTTATTTTCCCTGATTTTTCCCAGTATTCCCTGACTATGGCAACCCTGTCAACAGAGTCAGTTGATTTGAACTCCCCATTCATGAAAAAAATCGAACAATAAAAAAACCGACCTAAGTCAAATTGATCATAGAAAACAAACTGCCATATTCAAAAAATAACTGAAGTTTGCTTTCAAAAAAATTTCCCTCCTACTTTAATACATCGTCCTTGTCAACCTGCCAAGAAAAATTCAGTGCACCGAAAAAATTATTTAATCGCAAAGAAAACCAAAATTAACTCGAGTGAGCAATTTTGTTTAGCAAGAGAGAATTTGATTAACTGAATTTGTCTGCTTTTAGGAGGACTAGTCTAAATTTTTCCTTAGAAAATTCACTGTTGATAAAAAATTAACCATCCTCAGAAATGTTGAAATGTTGCTATGGAACTGCGCTCTTCTGCAAAATATACATTCATTCCTCTTTTTTTTATTTAGGAAATAAAAAAATGTTGACTGGCCGAATAATTTTTATGTGACAATTTCAGCTCCTTCAGAAGATACAATGAATATGACAACCAACATGCTACTTTGCAGAGGAAGTCAAATACACAACTCCACCAAGTCTCGGACAGATAAAAAATAGAAAATCTTGAGTTTGCATATGTACTTTCTTTTAAGTTTCAAAGTTTAATATTCAGCAATAAAAATTTAAACACAATTGGTTTTCAAAATTTCGTGAGAGTTCCATGCACCAAGTTTTCGTTTTATGATTTTAAGCAAGCTATTGAATACCAGTGGTTAATAATTAACTTTAAATCTAAATAGGAATCAGACATAACCAGTCTTCCAACTCAGTAAGTGGTATTTTGTTATAAAAAAAAAATGAAGGGAAATCTGGGAATGGAAAATGCAATCTTGTTCGAGTTTCAAGACTCCCTGGATGACTCTGAAAATTGCATGCTATCATTTTTAATTTTACATGGCTTTTTAAAGTTTTGGGTGTATTCTTTGATTGCCCGGGTTTCAGGATCCCAAAGTAGCTTGAAACAAAATTTTTTTTTCACTCCTAATGAACCGAAAGTAACTAGACTAAGCATGGTATTTTTAGTTACCTTAGGCCATACTTACTTTTACTTTTACAGCCATATTTTCTTTTACTTTTACAACTTTACTTTTCTTTTCTATCTCACAATTCAATATCCATATCTCCTGCCCCATCTTTAAAAAGTGCCATGCAATTGGTAAAATACTAATTTAAGAAGAAATGTACAAAGATCATGAATAGGTCTGAACATATTAATGTATTATGTACTTACTCTGCATGTAATACTGAAAAAAAGAAAGAGAGAAAGTTACCTTATCTTTCCCTTCTCCGTCTACAGATGTTTCGATGCTCGTCCCCGAGCTTGGCGAAAGCGTCTTACTTTCCTTGACTTTGTCTGCAGGGGTGGCCGGTTTATCCTCTGCAACCGAGGGGATGGTTTTAGGTTGACTCATCGAGGCCTTGCTACTTTCAGGACTCTGTTTGTCTTTCGGTTTCAGAACATTCAGTTCGTCTCTACTGGAGGCGGAAGGAACAGCAACACCGTGCAATGGATTTAATACTTTCGGGAGCCCAGGTATATCTGTCGGAGGGAAATTTTTGCTCCCAGGGAGAGGGAAGTTCAGCAGAGGATGAGGAAACAAACCAACTCTTGGTAAATTAGTGCCAAATGGAAACGCTGGGTTGAAATCATCAGTGGGGATGTTGGACGTTTTCGTTTTCACTTTGGCTTTCTTACGAGGTGGCTTCGGCGGAGAGGCTTCGTCGGGGCCTTTAGGTCTTCCTCTCTTGCGGTTGGCATTCTTAGTTTTCACTAATTTAGTTGGAATGTCGGGGGTTTTCGGCAACGGAAGTGAATCATATGAATCAGCCGACGGCAAGGGTGAGTTCCGATTTTTGGGAGTAGGCGACGGCATATCCACTTTCCGATCGTTCCCGAAACTCCCATCCTCCTGTTTCTCCTCTTTTGGTTTTGAGCTTATTTTCTTGAAAATGTTCAGCTTTTGACGGTCAGGTTCTGCAGCTAGCTTGCCTTCGAAAACGGATTTACTTTTGTCACCCGCCTTTGATTTCTCCGATGAGGTTTCGGGCTTCGGAGCGGATGGGACCGGCGATTTTGATTTTGAGAGCTTCGGGAGTTTGGGTAACAGAACTTGCAGACTCTGAGACAGGAGAGGATCCTTGAACTTGACTGCGTTCGGATCGTTGGTGTTATTTTGGGACAGCTTGAAAGCCCCCGTTTTGAATGCTTTCAGTTTCCCTGTTTCTTTCATTCCGGCTAGTTTCTTGACTTTGGTATCGCTGGAGTCATTATTTACACTGAACAGATCGTTCTTCTCTTTTGAGTCCATTCCATTTTCCTTGGCTTTGTCTTTATCGAAAGGCTTTTTAGACCCTGAGGAGCCTTGTTTTGCAGAGCTCTTCTTGTGTTTCTTGTCCCCTTTGACCTCAGGAGGGACTGTTGGGTATGACGGAGATTCAGACTCATTTAACAAACTACTTAGTTTTGGTAAAGCTTTGGCCTCAGGGAGCTTGCCCTCTCTAGCGGGTGATAGGAACCCAGAAGTGGTCATCATCACGCTGCTGATTTCCCGCAACGGCCGCCCTTCTTCTTCAGCGAGCATCCTGTGACAGAAGACCGGAATAAATCTCAGTAATAAAATTTAGAACACTACTCACCTTGATTTCATACATGATTTTTAATGAGGGTCCATGAAATTTCTTAGATGAAATGAACAAAAAGGACTATGTACAGAGGACTGAGACACTCAGCGTCCGATTTTTGATATGATGTCCTTTACCATTACACTTCACAATCTCATCTCACTCAGGAGGTCATGAGGAAAACAAATTAAAATTTTTTTTTGCCTTCAGCCAGTGTAAAATTGTTTGGTATTCCATGCGTAGTCCTTTGTGACAGGATTGGGGTAGAGATTTGAAATTCAGAAGTTTTTTCATGACTCTTAAGTAACATATAAGGATGAGTCATTCCATGCCAAATCAAACCAAAATTTAACCTGATCCCTCAGACTTAAATGAAATTTGGTACACTTATTTTGCTTACTGAGCTAATTCCAAAAAAGTAATTTGTTAAGTTTGTCCTCTTACTGAACTTCAAGTGAGCTGTCGAGTAAAATGATGGAGTTCGGCACCTCCAACTACCTGTAATTTTGGAACCGTTTGTGATACACAAAATTGGACCTCAACTTTGAATTTTTTTCTAAAAAAGAAACACAGTGTAAATTTGAAATATTTAAAAAAGAAGCGCATGGAATCCTGCAAAATTTTTCCCCAACCCAGTGGGCTGGCATACTTTTATCTACTTGCTTACCAAAAACCAAAGTAAAGACGTGATAGAGTCAAAAGTTATGGCGGTTTTTTCTATTGCATTAGCGTGATGGATGACAAAAAAGGCTCTCTAAAAATCAGGTCAAATTTTAGTTTGATTTGGGATGGGAAGACCCAGACCATTATATTTAACTGTAGTGCTGTTAGGCTGGTTTTCTTCCTCTAAAAGTAGTAAAATAATAATTATTGAGTTTCCAGTAAAAGGAGCTCCGTGCAAACTGACAGGGTTGCCACAAGATTTAAAAGATGACATTCCCTGACATTTTCCTGATTTCCCTGACACATATGAGTGAAATTCCCTGACAAATGAAACATGCAATATGACAAAAAAGACATAATTTGAAATATTTTTCAGGTAAAATTTGCTGCTCTAAACTTCAAAACCATTTTAAAAAGCTAGTAAAGGTAAATTTGCAATTTTTCCCTGACACTTTTGTCATTTTCCCTGACATTTCCAGGTTTTCACTGACTTTTTAAAATTCCCTGACTTTTCTTGGTTTTTCCTGACTGTGGCAAACTGGAACTGAGAAACAGGAATTTGCATGCTTTGCTGCCCAACATTTTATTCTTTTTAAAAAAAATTGCCGAATTTACTTGTCTATTTCTAGACTTACAGTAAAAAAAATCAAATTAGCGTAAAGCTCAGGGAGTGGAAATGAAAGAGCGTTCTTACCTAATTCTTTTATGAGGTGCAGATTCGGAGGGAGGATCCACAGGTTTCTTGAACATACTTTTAGGACTAGACTCAGGTGAATTTCCGGCAGCCACATTTGTATCTACTGAAATCGGAGTTATTTTTGAATAATCTTCCTCTGAAAAATAGACAGCAGTATAAGGTAAAAAGATAACTTAGAAACACACTCAGAACAAAAATTTCTATTCCGCACCCTCAGTTGGTCTACATTTTATAGCTGATCAACCAGATCAGGGTGACTACAAAACAGACTGACCAGAAATCAGTACTTCTTCAGTACTTTTTCAGTAAATTCCCAAGAAATCCAGCACCTCCTCAACAGAAAAATTCAGTTCTTTTCCAGCACCTCCAATCGACAAAATTCGAAAAATTTCAATTTCTCGCTCAAATTGCGACAAAAATGACAAAATATGAAAAAAATTCCGGACCTTTTGGCGGAATTTTCGCACTTTAACAGTACTTCTGGACCTCCCTTGAAAAATCAGTACTATTTCCAGACTTGCTGGGAATTCTGGACTTGTAGACACCCTGGAGATTGATTAGACACGAGTTTAACAGCCTCCTGACTCCTCTTGTTATTGTATTTACTCAAAAAAATCTCATAAACCCTCTTCTGGCCGAATTGAGCATTTTAGATCTGAAACTTGCTGCAACAGGATGGAATCCAGCAATTGAAGAAAAACTATATGACCATAAAGACATGGTTTGAAATAACTTCCAGGCAAAATTTGTTGTTCTAAACGTCAAATCCATTCTAAAAAGCTAAAAGAGGTGAATTAAAAATTTTTCCCTGGCACATCATTTACCCTGACATTTCCAAGTTTTCCAAGTCCCTGACTTTTTAAAATTTCCTGACATTTCCTGGTATTCCCTGACTGTGGCAACCCTCGATTAGATCATTAACTTACTTAATTGAAAATTAACCTGTTAAAATTAACTAATTGTTTTATCCCATAGTACTTGGATGTATTGACCTGTGCCAAGACAAATGTACCAGAGTTGATGCATTAAAATGCATTCATATTGAAAAAAAAAAATAAAGGGGAAAAAAGTGGAAGAGAGGGTAGAAAAAGAGGAAGATGAGAAGAACAAAAATAAACCAAAAGGCAAAGAAAAAAAAGAAAAAATTATTGTTCTGTCTTTTCTTCTTTTCCTCTCTATTCATCATCATCTTCTTTTTCTTCTCCTAATTTTTTTAAGACCATTTTCATCTTCTTCCATTCCTTCTTTTTTTCCTACATCTTGGATTCAAATTTGGGGATGATTAGGGACCGCTCATAAAATATATGGCACTCTGCGGGGGAGGGGAGTCCAGGAGAGCATTACAAGGAGGAAGGGGGACATTTAACATTACGTATTTTATGGGCAGCCCCTTCAATCCACTTTCATTCACAATTTAAAGTTAGAAAAAGTAGCAAAGAAATACTAAGTGAGAATGATACCTTCTAACTGAGGATGCATGGCTGGCAGGTGTTCATGAATATGCACAGGGCGTGTCACGACTTCTCGGCTGCCCGGTTTCAGCAGATTCAGGTGGGACTCTTTGTCGATGGGGTATTTTGGCACAGGGTGAGTGCATGGCACAGGAGCGACTTGTGAGACGTATTCCTCCAATTCTTCAATGGAGATTCCACATGCATTGAATGCTAACGTAATGTCCTCCAAAATAGGTTCAGTCCGGCCGACTGAGAGAGAAAACAAAAATTGATAAGTAAATCATAATCTATTGGTATTGCGGAATGTTTTTAATCTTCTTTTTCTTAGGTTCAGCTGCTTAATTTTGAAAACCCTTAATTAATTTTGTAAGATCCTTATAGTGGTTCATTTTTTTCAGCTATCAAGAGAGAAAGCAGTTTGCATTTTGACCCTAAACTCCCAATACTTCCTACCTTTGATTGGACATATTTATGTTAAAAGAAACTGCGTAATTACAAAGGGTTTGCTTGTAATGTAGTTACTTTTGGCACAAATACACCTAATTACTTGATAATTATGTCTCAAGTAGATGTCTGTGTGAGCAGTCAGTGACCATTTTAAACAGTGTTCAAAACTCACAGGCGCCAACGTGCCTAAAAAATGAAGGCTCTGCGCCAAAGTGGCCCCTAAAAATTGCCCCCCCCCCTCAAAAAATCCTGCTTTTTCTGTTTGGAGATTATTTGAAATTTCAACGCACGGAACCGAATTCTACCTTTTCACTAAATGCGCCGTGATGTTTAGGCAAAAAGTCAATTTAGCCCCTAGAAATTGAGCTTGATGGGCCACATGGCTCCTGAAACTCAAAGATAAGTTTCAAGCAGCGATTCAAAAGGAGTAAAATTTTGAAATTTAAAGGATATTACATACAATAGTGGCTGCGGGAAAGTAGAGTAAGAGAATTTGAACCAAACACAAAACCGTCATATATCCAAACAGGTTTAAAACTGGTTGAACAAATTCCTAGCTTTCTTCGGGGACCAACTGCGATTACTACAAAACCATACAGTGTATTAGAGTTGCTGTGTACTGGAGAGCGGATAAAGTCACTTTTAAAGGCTGTTTTGACCAGCACTTCTAGGACAGGTGTGCAATGACTGGCAATGCCGTATGCGCAGATTACCAGCTTCTAGGTTTCCTCAGGGTATTAACATATAAAGTTTATTACACCACAGCCGAGAGCTCCAAGACTGTATAGTTTGTTATGACTTTGGTCTGCACAGTTTGCCTAAAAAATTCACTAAATATTCGCTGATTTAAATCCATACATCCCCAAGAATACTCACACCCCACCGCTTCCGCAAACTGCCATGTTAAAGCTTGCAAAATGTATCCCAGCTGAGACTCAATGCTTGGCAAATAGAGGACTAGAAAGGCAAAGCACCGTTTTAGGCTTGACTTCCGCAGCACTCCAGTGCATAGGACTTGTGAGGGTTTTTTTTATATCCGTGGAACGCATGGAACGCGATGGATCAGGATCTTTGCGGTGCTGGCCGGTTCAACCGGCCTGACCACGGCCTCAGTCCACCTTGGAAGAGCGGTCCAAGCTTTTCACTGAAACGCATGGACGCATTGGAACATGCCAGTGGAACAGGATAAAAAAGTGATGCGTTCTGTAGCAATCCTCTGCGGTTCGGATAAAAAAAAGCCCTTGATGTACACTTTGTGCGGTAAAAACTCCTTAAAGGCAAGAGGCAAGGAGTCTTGCTCTGTTCAGCACTTACAGAATTCAGTGTGTCTCCTGATGTTGTCAATGAGCTCGTGGAAATACTTCTGAAATACATCGGTTAGGACTTCCAGAGGGGTCGTCTGGATTGCGTGCCACCCAATTGTCTGGCAAGCCTGAGCCACTGCAACTTTGGTGATACTCCTCGTGAATTTTGAAGACATTTTGGTGTAGGTAACGATTGGTAATGTTGCACTTCACATTCTCAGGAGTAAGATGGGAAAAGGAGGTTTACTTCACAAAACTTTGCGACATGTTTCACTTTCGTCATTCCTGCACCAGTTCGATACGCAGGGTAACACTTTTGAGATCAGAAATCGCTTCAAACCTGATCACTTGACAAAAAACGAATTGCCTTAGTTGAAAAAAAGACTTAAAATTAAGAGGAATATATGGAATTTCCAAAATCAAATGAAATTCCCTTGCGACAACAGATTACAGAAAGGCAGATAAACCAAATACCAAGATAAACCTAAACCAAGGCGGATAAAGAATGGTGGTCGCATTTCGATTTTGGCTGCCATCTTGAAGCGTTGTGACGTCAGGAGGGTACGGTTTTTGCCATGCATGGCCATGCAATTGGCAACTCCCCGAGTCCCCGGTCTTGGCCCATTGACGTATAATACAATCTAGACCGCGCATTACGAAATTCAAGCGAGACGATAGGCAACCCAGCAACACACAGCAAGTGTACCGGCGAGACAATGGTGGAATTCGTGGAAATGCCAGTCTTGCCAGTGCCGTTGCCTGATACGGGTACACTTAGCTCGTATATCCGGCGGTATCAACTAGGCTGAAGGCGCGTCTTTACCCCCTTAGCTGTCTTACCTTCCCCGCCTAAAGTCGGGCCCAATGCGCGGTCTAGATTGTATTATACGTCAATGTCTTGGCCGGCCCACATACCCGATACCGTGTGACGTCCGAAGTACGAAATGCGACCACCACTTATCCGCTTTGCTTTATCACGTTTACGTTTCTGTGATTTGTGCATTTGTGGCTGTGTGCGTGTGCTCCGGTTCGGTTCGGTTATGTTTTTGACATCGCATCCGCTGAACTTCCGTGAATTTGATCAGGATCAGTGAACTTTACTACATAATAATCGTTTATCCATTTTCATCTTCATCCTCGGGAAAAGTCCTCATACTTTAGTGTTGCGTAAGTTCAACTCATACTTGTCTCTTTCCCTGCCTGCAATGGCAATGGATACTTACTTTGTCAACCTCTTCCTCAAGGCTGCAATGTGTACAATACAATTTATTCGAGCATATTCTACGTTTCTCAATCATGGAAAGTCATGAATGTAGCCTCCATATTAACAGTCCATTTTTGTAAAGTTTAGTATTAAAGGCACAATACTTTTTTCCTGAGTAGTTGAGTGATGTTAACCTCAAACTTGATAGAGGGCTTGGCGGGTTGTTTTCTCCACATCTCAACTAAGACGCGTTGTTAAAGTCAGAAGTGCAACCGCTGAGTTATTCGCTGAGTGGCTGAGCTCAGCCGAAGTGTTGTTAAACGTTTTCTGAGTTATCCGCTGAGGTAAGCAGAGGCCGCCATCTTCTCAGCAAAATCGCTCAGCCCGAAGAGAAGAATCCATCTAGAAGATTGATCAACCACTCAAACCATACGTAGAAGTCTGGAATGAAACCTGACAAATTTAAAATGTAGCAGTGCGTTAAAGGCCTTTCCTCTCGTGCAATTGCTGCTTAGAATGATAGTGCAACTGCAAGCCAAAAAGGAAATTAGAAAGAAAGCTTGACTTAATCTTCCTCACAGATTAAGTATCAAATGGTGTTGCAATGATCAACTGAATAAGAACATTAATCGAGCTTTCTCACATTGTGATGTGCTGTTTAGGGTTGCCGAAGTTACTTTAATATACTTCATAGGACATGATTAAAATGTTAAATGTAAAATAGGAAATGTTAAGCTTCAGCCTCTTCATCATTCCATAAGCTCCTTTCAGTAGGAAGTTCACTTAGGCATTTGAAATTTTAGGTTGATATAATCATGAGCTTTTTCTATCTATTGGTTTGAAGTCTCAATCCGATAATCAATCCCTTCGGAAGCTCAGGCTCTTAACGAGGCAAAAGCAAGAACAGGGATAGCCAAAGACGTTTGCCTTGTTGATCCCCCCTTTCTGCTACTCGCTACTTCTGACAATAACATTACCAGTAGTCTTTATACAATTTTCAATAAAATGCCGGAAGAATTCAGAAGGAGTGTGTTGGGGGAGGGACCTAGGGTCTCCAAGGCTAGAGTTAAGGAATGGGCCAGGAGAATCTAGCCGTCATTTTTTTTTTTTTGTTATCGTGAACTTTTAGTTCTTTGGGTACAGTGTTCTAGCCATTTTTTCGTTTCTACCGGGTGCTACTTTTGAATTTAATTCTGCATTTAACCAAACTACGCCTGTATCAACCACCACTCATTCTTTCACTAATTAATTAGTATTTCTAGTATATATGAATCAAATCACTTATTCTGTTATCTATTGTTACTTTTCTATTTTGCTTCTTGGGCCCACCCAAACAAGCTTTGGTCTAAGGGTGAGCGCCTCTGTTTTAGTCTCTTTCTTTTGTAACCTTGTCTTTTTTGTTTAAAATAAAGAGTTTGCATTTTTTGATTTGACGTAATACATTGTACATATTCACTGTGCATTTTATATTAATAAGCATGTATTTATCTTCTCCAGGTGAAGAGCGGAACGGTAGACCATAACCATGACTGATGCTGACAGTGCCTCTGATGGAGAGGAAGGTGGAAGTTGGAAGGGGACAAGCCCTCGCTCCAGAAGTGCTTCATCTGCCAGTAGCAGGTCACGGTCTGGAAGTCCTGCCTCAAAAGCTAGTTCACGTGCTGCATCCAGAGCATCAGTCCGCAGCTCTAGTCCAGTAAACAAAGGCTCAAGGTCACCTTCCGTAGCCAGTTCTCGCAGATCTCGATCCAGGTCAGGGTCTCCTCCTGCATCTCCAGCCCGCTCAGGTTCTGGATCCCCAGCCAGGTCTCGATCTGGTTCACCTGTTCGGTCTCGTTCTGGTTCTCCAATCAGATCTCCATCTGCCTCCCCTGCTCGCTCTCGATCTGGTTCACCTGCCCGCTCTAAATCAGGCTCACCTGCTCGCTCTCGCTCTGGCTCCCCCGCAGGATCCCGGGCCGGTTCACCCACTCGATCGAAATCGGGATCACCAGCTCGCTCCCGTTCTGGCTCTCCTGCTCAGCGCGCCTCTCGGTCCCGATCAAGATCCGGATCCGCTCGCTCAAAATCAAGGTCTCGGTCTGGCTCTGCACCAAGATCAAGATCCAACTCCCCAGCTCATTCTCGAGATTCAAGATCTCGCTCGCGCTCAGGATCACCAAGAGCCCGTTCAAAATCTGGCTCTCCAGCTCGTTCCAGATCTCGTTCCAAATCAGGTTCTCCAGTGAGGTCTCGAGGATCCAAGTCCAGATCAAGATCCCGTTCAAAATCAGGCTCCCCAGCAAGATCAAGAGGATCTAAGTCAAGATCAAGATCCCGTTCCAAATCGGGTTCTCCGGCAAGATCACGAGGATCCAAGTCCAGATCAAGATCCCGTTCAAAATCAGGCTCCCCAGCCAGATCACGAGGATCTAAGTCAAGATCAAGATCCCGTTCCAAATCGGGTTCCCCGGCAAGATCACGAGGATCCAAATCAAGATCCCGCTCTAGATCAGGCTCCCCAGCAAGATCACGAGGATCCAAGTCAAGATCCCGCTCTAGATCAGGCTCCCCAGCAAGATCACGAGGATCCAAATCAAGATCCCGCTCTAGATCTGGCTCCCCAGCAAGATCACGAGGATCCAAGTCAAGATCTAGATCCCGCTCTAGATCTGGATCCAGGGCCCGATCTAAGTCTGGCTCACGGTCCCGTTCTAGGTCAGGTTCACCCAGAAGTAGGAAGTCACGGTCTCGCTCTGGTAGTGCTGCTTCTCGTCGCTCCGGCTCAGCTTCTCCTGCTAGAGATCGCTCACGCTCCAAATCACGTTCCAGATCAAGGTCAAGATCAGGTTCAAGATCTCGGTCTGGATCCGCTGCCAGTCGTAAATCTCGGTCAAGATCAAGGTCAGGATCGCCAGCAAGTCGCAAATCTCGCTCTAGATCGAGATCAAGGTCTGGATCCCGAGCATCTAGTAGGAGTAGATCAAGATCCGGTAATTGTTTTGACTAGTTTAATTTATCATCAGGGGAAATAATTATATATCGACGGTGTAAGTTGGCAATCACCTAACTTGGCTTGCGACGTTGCAGACTTCCTATCATACTTTATTTTTTGAACGGAAAACGACTAAACGGCAATTCCTTAAAACTGCTGTGATTTTTCTACTCACGAAGCAAATTCTGCAAAAACTTCAAGGAATGATGTCAATTTGTTCTCCTTTAGGAAAATAACATAAAGGCGGAGATTTTGCAGACACCGCAAACAAGTTAAGTGATTGCCGACTTACACCTTCGATATACTTTTAAGGGGTGATGCACATATTCGCGTACAATGTTCAAGTTAAAATATTTCACAACCTGTGCCTTAAATGATTCTTTGATTGAATAATTTGACTAAGCATTTTATCTTGAGGCAAGCTCTTCATATTTCTCACATTATTGAAGAAGCTTGTTGGAATCGTGACCAATTATACCATTTGTTTTGGGTGATTTCTTTTTGCGATGTAGGAAGCAAAACAAAGGAGTTTAATGTTATCATTTCATCAGGGACTTGCCGATTTTATAAACTACCTACCTTGAATATAATTGATAAGTTCCCTCATCTCGTTTTTCATTTTAATAGAGGGGCTCAATTCAATTTAGTGCAGGCATCCATACCAATAAAAGCTGAGATACCTGCCAAGGCATCAAAAGTTTTTTCCACAACCATTTGGCTAGTTTCTAAATTTCTTAACATACCTGCAAATAAGCCAAAACTAAGCCCTCTCCAAATTTCCTATTGAACGGAGACCGCCATTTTTTGGGCTGGCCGCTTTAATTCATGCTATTAATTGAGAGTTAATAGAACATAGTGTATTTTGATTCGATTTCCTTTTCATAATTTTCCCTGTCTCTACAACTTTACATTGGACTTTTATTTCCCCAGACAATGAAGAAAGGAGATCAGTTGCGGATAGTGATGAGGAAGTTGGCAGCAAGAGACGTAAAAAAGATGACTCAGATGGAGAGGGACAAGTGGCAAAAAAGAAGAAGCGTGCTGTCCTATCAGACTCCGAATCAGAAGACGAATCAAAAGGAAGAAAAAGGGCCGTCTCAGATGACTCAGACTCGGAAAGTGCGCGGGTCAAGAAACGGAAGAAGAAGGCACCCAAAGGAAGAGTCATGTCTGACTCGGAGGATGAAGGTAAAGGATCGGGATCCGATAATGAAGGTAGAAGCTCCCGAGCGAGTCACAAATCCGGCTCCGGATCTGAAGCTGGAAGCAGGAGATCAAGGAAAGGATCGGGCTCCGAGTCAGAGGGTGAAGATGGAGCACGAAAGAAGGTAAGTTGATCTACTTGTCCCAAGGTTATTTGTGAAGGGGGTTTAAAGTGGGAATAAGTATTTCTGAAATCAAATAATCAAACAGGGTTTGAGAGACCACTGAAGTTGCTGGGATATTCTCAATTTTCAATTCAGATTGTCAAATCCTTGAAAATACTTACTTGATTTATTTCCCAATAGAACATTTCCCAAAGTACTGAAAAATCCCTATTATGAGAATTTCCAGTGTAGTGGAAAATGACAATTTGTCGATTTGGCGATTGCTGTCAAGTTGTGTGTTCTTCATTCATCATCAGATGCGATGAAAAATTTGCTCTCATTATCATGTAATTTTTATCTCTTTATTCCCCAGGGGTNTAGAGATCGCTCACGCTCCAAATCACGTTCCAGATCAAGGTCAAGATCAGGTTCAAGATCTCGGTCTGGATCCGCTGCCAGTCGTAAATCTCGGTCAAGATCAAGGTCAGGATCGCCAGCAAGTCGCAAATCTCGCTCTAGATCGAGATCAAGGTCTGGATCCCGAGCATCTAGTAGGAGTAGATCAAGATCCGGTAATTGTTTTGACTAGTTTAATTTATCATCAGGGGAAATAATTATATATCGACGGTGTAAGTTGGCAATCACCTAACTTGGCTTGCGACGTTGCAGACTTCCTATCATCCTTTATTTTTTGAACGGAAAACGACTAAACGGCAATGCCTTAAAACTGCTGTGATTTTTCTAGTCACGAAGCAAATTCTGCTAAAACTTCAAGGAATGATGTCAATTTGTTCTCCTTTAGGAAAATAACATAAAGGCGGAGATTTTGCAGACACCGCAAACAAGTTATGTGATTGCCGACTTACACCTTCGATATACTTTTAAGGGTTGATGCACATATTCGCATACAATGTTCAAGTCAAAATATTTTACAACCTGTGCCTTAAATGATTCTTTGATTGAATAATTTGACTAAGCACTTTATCTTGAGGCAAGCTCTTCATATTTCTCACATTACTGTAGAAGTTTGTTGGAATCGTGACCAATTATACCATTTGTTTTGGGTGATTTCTTTTTGCGATGTAGGAAGCAAAATAAAGGAGTTTAATGTTATCATTTCATCAGGGACTTGCCGATTTTATAATCTACCTACCTTGAATATAATTGATAAGTTCCCTCATCTCGTTTTTCATTTTAATGTAGGGGCTCAATTCAATTTACTGCAGGCATCCATATCAACAAAAGCTGAGATACCTGCCAAGGCATCAAAAGTTTTTTCCACAACCATTTGGCTAGTTTCTAAATTTCTTAACATACAAATAAGCCAAAACTGAGCCCTCTCCAAATTTCCTATTGAACGGAGGCCGCCATTTTTTGGGCTGGCCGCTTTAATTCATGCTATTAATTGAGAGTTAATAGAACATAGTGTATTTTGATTCGATTTCCTTTTCATAATTTTCCCTGTCTCTACAACTTTACATTGGACTTTTATTTCCCCAGACAATGAAGAAAGAAGATCAGTTGCGGATAGTGATGAGGAAGTTGGCAGCAAGAGACGTAAAAAAGATGACTCAGATGGAGAGGGACAAGTGGCAAAAAAGAAGAAGCGTGCTGTCCTATCAGACTCGGAATCAGAAGATGAATCAAAAGGAAGAAAAAGGGCCGTCTCAGATGACTCAGACTCGGAAAGTGCGCGGGTCAAGAAACGGAAGAAGAAAGCACCCAAAGGAAGAGTCATGTCTGACTCAGAGGATGAAGGTAAAGGATCGGGATCCGATAATGAAGGTAGAAGCTCCCGAGCGAGTCACAAATCCGGCTCCGGATCTGAAGCTGGAAGCAGGAGATCAAGGAAAGGATCGGGCTCCGAGTCAGAGGGTGAAGATGGAGCACGAAAGAAGGTAAGTTGATCTACATGTCCCAAGGTTTTTTGTGAAGGGGGTTTAAAGTGGGAATAAGTGTTTCTGAAATCAAATAATCAAACAGGGTTTGAGAGACCACTGAAGGTGCTGGGATATTCTCAATTTTCAATTCAGATTGTCAAATCCTGGAAAATACTTACTTGATTTATGAGAACATTTCCCAAAGTACTGAAAAATCCCTATTATGAGAATTTCCAGTGTAGTGGAAAATGGCATTTTGTCGATTTGGCGATTGCTGTCAAGTTGTGTGTTCTTCATTCATCATCAGATGCGATGAAAAATTTGCTCTCATTATCATGTAATTTTTATCTCTTTATTCCCCAGGGGTGCAGAGAGTTTCAAGCCTCTCCTTCAATTTGATTAATGTTCTCCCCTTTTAAACCAAAATTCATGACAATTTCCCCTAAAGACTATCAATTAGTTTTACCAAAGAAATGAAACTTTTTCTCTATTAAAACCCTGTACTCTGGAGAAAAAACTCATGCAAGATCTCTCTGTTTTGTCCTGTCTCCTCAGGAGCTTTGGTTTTTAACCTTCTCAAAAAGCATTGCTCCAAAATGTAATCAGTCTATTGACAATTTTCAGGATGCAGATGATGCTGAGAATGTAGAAGGTGGTGAAACATCGAAAGCTGAAGGTGAAGGGACAGGTGAAGTTTTACCTGCTCTGTCAGATGAAGACTCTGATGTCGATCGACCGAGGGGTAGCGATGATGAAGGTGACAGGTAAGTCATTTCAATGCTCCTCTAAAATGTTGGACCTTCACAGTCCTATCCTACATGGTTAGGTTTTTCCGCTCGTTTTAAATACGTTTAAATTAAGAGAGGATACTTTTTACCCTCAAACTATCTTCCATCGTTCTCGTTTAATTTGAAATGCAAGATTTAAGAAAAAAACCATGATGATATTGAAAATATTTTTTGCAGGCAAAGTGTCAACCATTATCACTCTGTTTGAAATCTTGACTCTTCTGCTAATTTTTGACAAAATAAGTATTTTTCTTTGTAGATAACAGGGATTATTTCTATAAATTTGCATCATTGTCTGGTTGCTGGAATGATTTCCAGTCCAAAATTGAATTTTTTTTTGAATAAGATACAGTATTTCCTAATATACAGGATTTTTCAAAGTTTGATTGTTAAAAGTATACTAAAAGCATTTTTAAAAGGAAAATATAAATATAGTTTGTAGTTTGATGAATTCCTACTTTCAAATTATTCAAAATGTGAGATCTCTTGCCAAAAACATATGAAACCTCTTAAATTTTCAAAAGAGTATCTGCTGAGGCATTTGATAAAACGCCTGATTTGACTATTTGCCTGCAACATATCTGAACTAGGATTTTTTAATTTTCACATTTTACCAGAGTAGTAAATGGAAGAAAAATTTTAAATTTAACATGATCCTATTCTTGTTTTATTAGCAAAAATTATTCCTTTGTAAGTTTTGGTTGAAACAATCCTCCTGATCACATATCCAGCAACCTCATACTTTCACTCCATTAGGCTATCAAAGGGAATAAAATTCTCTGCGGAGCAAAAATGTAAAGAAAGTGAAAATTTATTAGACACCATGTTTGGCTGGTTCCCCCTATTTGTTTTGCCCAAATCTGATTTTTTGGCGCATCAACTTTTTTTTTACTTTGAATCTATACTGAAACTCTTAGAAATGAAGAAATCAGAATAAAGCAAAGTGAAAAGAAAGTGTAGCATAGGAAATACAGAAAATATAATAGTAAATTAGATAATGTTGTTGAAATCTTGATTTTAATGCTGGTGTTTCAACAACGACCTTTCTTGCTATAGGTATGAGATCTGTAAAGATTTTGGTGAAAATGTAATACACTCATGTCAATTCAAAAATTTAAAAATTATTTCAATTTAATTTAAAATTTGCCAGATGCCCCGCTGAAGTGCGTCTAAATTTTAGATTTTTAATAAACTATGAGTTTGTTTATAACATCTTTTATCAAAAGTTGTACTGATTTTAACTCCTGTTTATTTCCATTTTTATTATTTTTTATCTCAACCTGTATTGTACCCGTTGTTGTATACCCATATTGTATGTGGATTCTCCCCATCTCAGTTATTTCCTTTCCTGTTTTTTAATTTTTAATTCTAGATAGATTGATTTCTCATGTGTGTTGCATTAAATGCAGTTTCAGTGAATATAATATTTTTCATCTTTCAGAGATAATAGCGGTATGTCCGATTTTGATATGATGTTGGCCCGTAAGAAAGAGGAAGCCAGCCGTAAACGTCGCCGTAAAGATATTGACATCATCAATGATAATGACGATATCATTGCTCAGCTTCTTTCAGACATGAGACATGCAGCCAATGTAAGAAACTTTAACTTAAAAGTTATCTTCACATTTTAATTTTTATTGCTGACTGCCAGAAAGAGAATTATCGGCAGGAATCCATATGATTATTTGGAGAAAAGTATCAAAAGACCCAATACCTTTTACCGAAAAATGTATTAAATTTTAATCCGTTCATTTGCAACTCCAGGGGAAACTTCACTCTTAGAATTTATCTTCAAACCCAAGTAAAATTTTAGAATCCTCTGAAAGAGAAATATTTGAAAAGGGTGTTCTTCTTTCCCTCGCAAGTTTTATGAACTCTTTAGTTTATTAATCATTCCGTATATGATGCCATTGTTTTATACAACTGAAGAAGAGAGGAAAAAAAGCATACTAACTCCTTCCACCATCTTCATTCAAGTTAAAATTCAACTTCATTATTCTTTAGTTTCAAAGTGAATTTGTTTTATACTTCTGAATGACTCACAATTTTCTCTCTTCTTTTTTAGGAGGACCGCGAATTGAACAAACAAGGCCGCCCTGCAACCAATAAAATCGCCATGTTACCCAAAGTTATGTCACAGCTGCATAAACATGACTTGCAATTAGCGTTCATTGAGCACAATGTACTAACAGTCCTGACAGACTGGCTAGCTCCAATGCCTGACAGAAGTTTACCTTCACTCAAAATCCGAGATTCAGTACTGAAACTTTTGAAAGAGGTACGTCTATCAGTTTATATTCCTCTTTTTACTCTTGTTGTCTCATCGAGAAAGAAACCAAGAATACTTGTTACCCTGATTTCTTCGTTCACAAATCTCAACCAGTATTTTCAACAGAAAATACCTAAATTAAAAATGTCAGAAACTTTATGAATCTTGAAAAATTCCACCTTGTTCGCATGGGAAATCAGTATGGACCGGAAAAAAGATCTGTTTAATTAAGCTTTTACTGTACCATATCACAAAAACGGTTCTCAGTCCAAGAAACGCCCCTGCAAAGAAGTCAAAGACATTAAATCATGTAGACCGTGCGTCCGGCTTGGTTTAGTACAGGTGGAGCGAGACAAGTCTCTTGGAGCTCAATGATGGGCGGGCGGGGAAGGGGAGAGAGCGTGTGTCCCAAGCACTCGAAGAGACTGCAGAGAGGCAGTGGAGAATTCATTGGTGCGCTGGTTTTTCACGAATATTTCGTTTAAGAGTCCATTTTCAGACAAAATTCCTACGAATAAAAGTTTTAGAACATATAATTTTACAACTGTATAGCAATGTTTCATTTTTCCAAACTAATTATGAACCGAGCAAAAAAGCCTCACAATCCGACAAAAATTCACTGCAGCCGCTACTGCGCATGCGTAGATGTGAGCAATTGGGACACACTTGAGTCCCTTTACACTGAGAGTCAAGACAATGCGAATCCATTTCTGATTGGTTCCCGTATTTTAGGCCTCCACAGTGTCGCAAACAGGAATTAAGATTACATTTTCACCGATTGCAAAGATTATAATGTAGAATGGACCGGGGAATAACATGTTCGACAAGGAACAAACGGAATGAGAGAAGGAACGGAGAAAGGAATTTGACAATGAGCGGATCAAAGATTACGAAAAACTGCCAATTTGTGTAATCTTTATTCCCATTTGTAATTCCATGAGGGGGGGGGGGGTTGTCTTGACTCCCAGTATAAAGGGACTCCAGGACACAAACTCATCGATGCAGGTCGGTGCCAACACTCATCGGCATGCAAATTTTTAAAAATTGTCTTGCCATGCGTAACACAGGATGCACGGTCTACGTGATTCAATGTCTTTGAAAGAAGTCATCAGTAGTGTCGTCTTTTTTGTCTGAAGGTTCAGGGACCTTTTCATCTATGATTATGTGTCCTAGTTGTCTAAAATTTTATTAAAAAAGGAGATTCTGCAACAAATGAATTTTACAGGTGTTCAACTTTCCAATATTGGCATCCAAAGAATAAATTGTTTTTTTTTCTTGCAGTTTCCTCCTGTAGACCATTCTACGCTGAAACACTCTGGAATAGGAAAGGCTGTGATGTACTTGTATAAACACCCCAAAGAAACCAAGGAAAATAGGGATAGAGCTGGTAGATTAATAAATGAATGGGCTAGGCCTATTTTTAACTTATCCACCGATTTTAAAGGTAAGTTTAGTGTCTTGAAAATTTGATTTTTTCCAAATCTCTGGAGGACGAAAAGTTAACAGATCGTATTCGATAGTGGTTTGATGTATCGTTTGGTTCAAATCAATAGAACATAACTTCAAACAAAAATTTTAGGATTTAATTTGAAAAAGCTGAAAATGAGAAAATTCCTAACAATTTCACTTTTCATTGCCATTTGATACTTGAAAGAATACAAATTCGATTACAAAAGACCGGTTACCTTAGATTTCTAAATTGCCTTTTGAGGCTATGTTTACATATTGAACCAATCGATATCGCTACAATCTCATCTGTTTGATGTATAGAATTACGATCTATACCGTTTTGATGTGTGTATTTGACTATGGTAGCTTGTAGAGGCTGTAACCTTATCTTGGCATTTATTTCTCTGTTTTACGTGATTAACAACTCATTTTTTATCTCTATTAACGCCATTCCTGGCAACAAAAGGGATTGAAAGCTCATCTGTATAAAAATGTTTAAAAAATCAGTGAATCATGTGTAAACAATATATGATCAGACCACCTTCTTATAAAAATGTTCTGACTTGAAGATCGCAAAATTTTATCCTTTTCATATCTCAAGATCTCTCTAGAGCGGGTTTCATGAGGTTGTTTGGTGTTCTTCTCTTCTTTTTATGAACCATGCTTCCTGCAAATGTATTTAGTTCCCTCATGTTTCATTTCAATTATCATTATAGTTAGTGAACAGACTTTTTCACTGAACAATCTTTGACCAATTTTTGAAGAAAGGAAGATGCTTTTTTTAAATTTTGATAGTCTGAGTTTAACGTATAAAAATGTTCATGATGCATTATCCTTGGCAGTCTGAAAGACAGCAAACCAATTTCACGCAAATTATTTATCGAAAATTAACTTCAATAATGATGGCCAAAGTGCAAAACCTTGATTTCCTCTGCGCTGTATCAAAATCTCCGTTACTATTTCATTTTCTCCAAGAAAAATAAGCCAACATTATTGCTTGAAAATTAATGCAGAATATTCCGCTGTAAAACTAATTATTCAGTGAAAAAATTAAAGTATGACAGAAAGTTGCAAGTGGAGATACATGGTTCTTCTTTTGGCCATCAATATGTTGTTTAAAGGTATATATCGACGGTGAAAGTCGGCAATCACATGTCTTGTTTACATTGTCTGAAAATCTCTGCCTCTATGTTATTTTTTCAAAGAAAACAAATTGACATCACTCCTTGAAGTTTTTGCAGAATTTTCTTCGCACAGAGGAGAATAATCATGGCAGTGTTAAAGAATTGCCGTCAAGAAGTTTTCTGTTTAAGGAATAAAGTATGACAGGAAGTCTGCGATGTCGCAAACCGAGTTATGTGATTGCCGACTTATACCGTCCATATACCCTTGATATATTTTGACCTGCAGGGCGATTATTGAAATGACATCGACTCTATGGCGTGACATGACTGTCGCCGCTTAGTAATGTCGCGCCATAGAGTTGATTTCATTTCAATAATCGCCCCGCAGGACTGGTAGTTACATTTTCGATCTGATCAGTATTTCTATTCTTATCTTCTTAGTCACCCATTGTCTATTCATGTGATCTTATGCACACCCTCTTGTCTCTTAAATTCCAGCTATTAGTAAGGAAGAAAGACTGCAGCGTGATCTTGATCAAATGTTGCCAACAAAAAGGCGAAATTCAGAAGATGGAGAGAGTAGTGAATCTAGGAAAAAAGACATCAGCAAAGCTATTTCTGGTGATGAAAAGTAAGACCCTTCATTTTTATTATTGTTATTTTTTCTTTTTTGGTTCAGTTTCCAAATTTTCTCATCATATTTGATCCTTAACTTTTGGTTCAATTTATTTTTTACCTTGTTAGCTGCCTGGTTTGCGGTATAATTTGCAGCAAGTTGAGAGGCGCAGAAAACATGCAAGTACAACAGACATTGCTCTCAGGCGGCGGTAGCATCATCTCCTAGACATGAGTGTAATGTGAGGTTCAGATCTGTGATGAGATGTTTTTTCCTCTCAGCAGAAATAATTTAAAAATTAACCTTAATTTTTAAGGAACCCAATTTTTCTGAATAATCAGGGTGTCCACAAGTCTGGAATTTCCGAGAAGTCCGGAAATAGTACTGATTTTTTAAGGGTGGCCCAGAAGCACTGAAAAAGTGGAGAAATCCAGCAAGAAAATCCGGAATTTTTGTCGGAATTTGAGAGAAAAATTCAAATTTTTGAAATTTTTCGAATTTCGTCAAATTAAGGTACTAAAAAAGTACTGAATATCTCTATTGAGGAGGTACTGAATTCCTCGGGAATGTACTGAAAAAGTACTGTATAAGTACTGATTTTTGGACAGCCTGCTTTAGTAGACATCCTGAGAAAAAATCTATTTTGCTTCATTAAAGATGTTCCATTTCCTACTAATTATTAATTATTTCGTTAAAAAAAAATTTGAAAATCCTTTAGTTTGTATTTCAAGGATCAATTTTCCCTGAGATGCTTTTCAAAGATGTTGGCCCTCAGAATACATCAAGTACCTACTTTCTGGAAGTGGGATTAAAAGTAAACCCCCTTCCCTCTCGATCTTCTGAAAAATTACCCAATTTTAGTCGAAACCAGTACAACCTTGTTTATGTATTTGCTTCCTGTCTGTGCATAAAGAGTCGGACTAAATCGTTGTCCTTCTGATGAAAGGGCGTATCTCTATTCCCATGTAAGTTCTGAGAAGCATGGAGTTACACGGAGAGTAGAGCTCTTGCAGGAATTGAGATACGCCCTTAATGCAGAGCAAATGGACTGCATTTTGCAATTTGGAACTATAATTCTAGCCCAGTTTAAAAACAACGTATGTGCCATTAGTCTCCCTATGTACATACGTGTTTTTCCAGAAGAGCCAGAATTTATAGTCCCAAATTGCAAAATGCGGTCCAAATATGAAGGTGGATTCTCAACATAGCAAGGGAGATTCCCTCTATTCCAGCTTCAACTTTGAGAGCTTTTTTTAAGCTTGGGAGTTCGGCCCAGAGAAAATCAGCGGCACCATTGTGTTTCTAGTAAGATTTTACTCAAGAAAAAGCACTAATATTGGAAATTTCTAACTCAGGAAAGTGCTTTATCATGCACACTTCAATTCGATGCAAAGAAAACATCTTAAGCCCAAAAATATCATGTCATTAATTTTTTCTGTCTCTTTGCAGAACATTGAGGCCAGGTGACAAAGGATGGATAGCCAGAGCAAGAGTTCCAATACCCTCTAACAAAGATTATGTCACCAGACCTAAGTGGAAATCAGACATAGACATGAGCCGAGTAAGTTCATTCCTTCTTTATGATCAATTTTTTCACATATTGAGTTGAAAGCACACTGAATCAATTATCATGATGGCGTTGACAGCAAACATTAAGAAAACCCACTAAAACCTTGAAATTCATCAGAAATGAGGAATCTGCATGTTTTATGAAAACGTTACCTTAGCTGATTCTGAGGTTTTCTTCAATTTAAAATTGAACTGACAATTAACAGGGTTACTAGATATTGAAAACCTGGTAAAGCCAGGGAATTTTGCTGCAGAAGCTAAAAATTTTCTCTGCCAGCCGAAAAATTTCACTATCTTCCTGTGTACTTGTACGTTTTATCGGTGTAAATCAGAACTTCTGCTTCTAAGTTCCAAAATTGTGTATTTTTTCAATTTCAAGACACTTCGTCCCGAAGCATTTTCATGAGATATTATGCCTGAACAAAAGCTAATAAGATATGGAAAAGTCAGGGAGTTTTATTTCCATAAATTCTGGAAAGTCATGGAAAAGTCAGAGAATTTGAAAATCGAAGAAACTTTCTCATCCTGTTTAAGGAAATAAAACAGAAGTGATCGAGTCTGCTGACCTAAATGTGTTTATATTTAACCTTTATATAAAATCAGAGCGTGATAAGATTGCTAAGTTGAAAGTGAATGTATTTTCTCCAATATCTCACATCAGAAATGTTTCTTTTAAAAAGAAAAAGACAATGTGGTCTCAGCTCCACTAGCCTCTACTGTCAGCCCTTGACGATCCTTTAATCAAAGCCCAATTTTCTTTTTCAGACCACTAAGAAACAAATGAATAGATTTGAAAGGCATTTGAAGAATTTCATCGACAACAAACGCCTGAAACAGTCACGGAGAGCTGTGCCTATCTCAATCGAAGGACGTGGTATGGCCCTGTAAATCTTCTGTATCAATTTAAATTAATTTCGCTGTAGAGAATTTAAATTATTCTGTAAATACTGGAATCTGTACAGCACAAATGTGAATTGAAAGTATGTTAGCCGCTGAGTTTCCCTTAGAAATTCATTTCCAGCAGCTCCTGGAATCTTTTTAATCATCTTGTGAAGTGCAACTTCACTGAGCAATTTTTAGTCAATGTATTTTGTTCTGATCCTGCATTATTTGTTTCTATTTTTTATCTTAATTTTATTGTGAGTTGAACAATCAGGATCAAAACACATGGGATATGTTTCAGAATTTCATGAAGTCATTTTGGAAGCAGAATTAAGTATGTAAGGTTTACTTTTTCCCTGCTTCAAATACATTTTTGAATAATTTAGAAATATTGTTAAAATATCTGAATATTATTTTGTTTACTTTTGTTTAATTGTTTCTCTTGACTTTTTTTCAAGGTCTATAACGATATAAATTGGCCAATCCTCCATCCTGATATGAAGTCAGATTCCCAATTCTGCCTTCCCTATTCCTTGACCACCATCATCCTTATGTTTCTTCCGAAGCTATCCTTTGATTATCTCCTCCTCCCTGTGGAATCCTCTTCAATTCTCTTGACTTTTCAGATTTCGTCCATGCCGGCACCATTCTTTTATCTAAGAAGTGAAGCTACTTAAAGCACAATTAGTACTGTTTGTCTAAGTTTACACATTTTAAGCTGTTGATTCCTCTGTATCAAGAGTCATCACGAAAGATACCTGTTTATAATGACCGTTTTCTATCTCAAATATCTGTGCTAAGTCTTATTAACGAAGACACGTTGTAATGTGTCTTTCTTCTTGCATAAATTTGTTATTTCACACAGTCTTAGTTGCAAAAATTTAATCTCTTAGATTCAAAAGCTTTTTGTTCTTTCCTTCTTTTACACAGTCAATTTGGGTTAAGTGAGAGCGTAGACTCGAGTTTTCTGCACCTGTGACTTTCCACCATTGCGTTTTAAACCCAATGGATTGCGTTCACCATAAAATAAAAGAGAATACTTTTTTTGAGCAAAAATGAACAAAAAATCAACACAGCTTAATTATTTCTAATTTTTACAACATGTTTTTGAAGTTTGATTTGATTTTTTTTTTACTAAGCATCATTTTCTTTTTCTTTAATGAGTAGGTATCAATGTTATTTTTCCCTTAGTTGAAAAAAATATTAAAATAGAAGAAGAGGGTCAGCAGAGTGTCCTATCAAATATGAATTTATATGAAGAAAGAGGAAGGGGAGGGCACCTATTCCACTCTTATCAACTTAGGATACGTGGCAAACAAGCACCAGAAAGAGACCATTGTATTATTTTTGTACAATACTATTTTAATAAAAATTATTACCTAAGTCCATCCTGATCTTCAGTTCTTTCTAGCATTCATATACCCATCATTTCTCTTCTGTTCTGATATAAGAATAGTGAATTTTGTTGAAAGAGGAAGTAAGTGGTAAGCATTAAACCTCTTTATCGGTTAGGAACTTTCAAGAAGATTCTGGATTATCGCTAACCTGAGAAACCTGTGTATCCTTTTTTTTAATTTTAAAGGAAACAACCAATTTAAGAAGCTTTGAGCAATACCACACGATGTTGCTCCTCTAACAGGGAAAAAAGCTATGCTCTCGCATCTGAGTGGTGACAATGATATGTATTAAATGAATAAAAATAAATTCTTGCTTTCATATTAGACATGGAAATGGGAAAAATATTTTGAGTGGTTCATCTCATCATCAGTGTTAGGACTGAAAGAGATAATTGTACTACATTTTGCAATTAGGAACAACAATTTCCAGCTCCTTTAAGAAAGAACGTCTGTGCCATTAGTTTCCATATGCTGGTAAGTGCTTTGACATGCGAGTCACATATTTTAGATCATGATTGCAAAATGTAGTCCAATTCAATGACATTATTATTCTGCTGTGCTAAGGAAAAACGCGGTATGATTGTTTAAACGGTACCTTACTGTAAAACTCGTATTTTTCAGCAGAGCTAGGAGTGTTTTCTAAGTATTCAAATTGTTTTGCAGAGGAAATAGTCATAAATTTCCTTGAAAATTATTGATTAATTGAATGAATTCAGCATTGTCCAATGGCTCATGCGGCTTTCTTTCTTAGTACGGAAATATTTCAGTTAGGAAGTGCAATATGCATTGCATAAAAACTGCATTTGAAAGGAATTAAGACTGAAACGCTTATTTATTGTAACAACAACGATACAAATTAGAAAATGAAATAAAAAAATAGGTTGACAACAGTGTAAGAAACTACTGCAGACACTGGAAAAATACGAGGGGTCAAAAATATAGAATCTATCAAATTACATACATGATGTAGGCCTGAAGTTAAATGCAAATGATAGCTAGAAAGATTCAAATATTACAAAAGTGCACGATTAATATTTTTCAAGATATATTATTTTCTAATCACAGGGATCTGGCCAAAAGGAGATAAAACTGGGCAAACTGAAGCCACAAGAGCTGGCCAAACAGAAAAAAAAGAAAAAAGATGGTAATGTTACGTTACTTGCGGCCCCCCCAAAAAAAAAAAAGATTATGAACAATTTACCAGTGAATTTTTTGTCCCCACTAAACTCAACTTGTTTCTAAACTAGCGAAGTATACATCATTCAAAGATAAAAACAACTGCAGTAGTATGAAGGTAATAAATAATTGATGTTCTGTTGTGGTACTTTTTTTTCTTTTTTGACAGGAGTCTTTTTTCCCTCATCACAGAGCAAAAAGTTTAGCAAAAGTTAAGCAAATAGTTTCTGAAATTTTAGCCTTAAACATTGGTTCATGAGAGTGAGATGGGCACCAAATGTTAAACCTGATAGTATTACTGATAGTCAAGTATTATCTTTCAAAACAACTTCTTTCTTTTCTTTTTTCTACGGGCAAATCGGACCTTTTGTTTTCATCATGAAGAATAAAGTTATACGCTCCGTCCACAACAATGCAGTGCTGAGGAAAAACACAGTATGAATATTTGAATGTTGCCACGCTTCCAGCAGTAAAATATTTATTTTTGAGGAGTGTAACAAGTATTTAACCTTGAAATTTTTAGATACATATAATTCTGATGAGATTGCGAACAAAATTCTGTGAAAAATTGGGAGAGAATTTTCACAGATCTCTAAGAAAATTCGTACTTTAACGAGGGAAATGTGGCAACGCCCGAAGTTTCATCCAGTGTTCTTTCTTAGTGTGGCAGTTCAGTGCATGATTAGTACACTACTTTAGGAACAAAAATTGTATTTCTCAGATTACTGAGATGAAAAATTACTTTTTTTTAATTACTAATAATTCATCCACAACAATATTTGAAGACCAGTCTCTCCTCAAGTCTGGAGGGGTACCAAAAAAACATCATTCTAAATTATAATCAATGCGAAGTTAAAGGGTACATATTTCAAGAGGACCAAGCAGTATGTCGGAGACCCTAAATAAAACAATCTAACAAAACTCCTTCATCACACAAAGTACAAAATCCCCGCGAGATGAGAAAAATACCTCAATGGGAGGCAAAAAACCCTTTTCAATTAGATCCTTAAACAAGCATAATCACATTTTCAACAGAATTAAAAATCAACATTCTTTATACACCTACTTTGAAATTAAATACGATAAATTTGACAGCAGGACTGCCTGTTACATGTATATACATATATATGTGAAAATAAATGTAATTTAATGCTACGAATTGTATGAAAAGTGAAATGGTGTGACACATTAAAGCAAAACCAATTTTTGAAAGCTTTTGGCTCATAAATTTTCGACTGACCAGATTAGCAAATGTGTCACTATAAATGTAAAGAAAGGCAGTATTTATGCTGCGGATAAAATATAACAAAGAAGCGAAAGAAAAATGTGAAAAAACCTGAAATTGATCACAATTTTCCAAGTTATGTTAAGCATTAAAACTTTAGAAATTTTTCAAATGTATGTTATCAAATTGAAATACCACGAAACGTTTCACTTCCAAGCAGAGAAAAACACTGAAAGACAAAAACGATTCCTGCTTCTCTCGGTTGAATGTGTATCACTGGGAAATGCTCAGATGAAGCAGAGATTTTTAACCTAGAGACTGGACTAAGAATTATTGAAATTATGGAGGAAATTTTCTATAAGTACCTTGTTCCCATATGTTCAAGCTTTCAGACAAACTTAACAAGTTTGATTAAATTCGAAAAAATTTACATAAAATACAAACACAATCTAACTCAACATTTAACAAAAGCTTCAACAATTAACGTTAACCTTGGTGTTGACTGACCCATTTAGTAAGCACCGTTTTTGACCCTAAAAGTTTAGTATAGATATCTGTAATTGGACATTTTAGAAGAAGTATTTTTGAACATGGCATTATCGTCTTAAGCTGGAGGAAAACGACACTGAAGAGGCGTCCACATCTTCCATCAGTTCTGTGATCTTTGCTGCAAGCCAGGCCTTAAGCTCTTCGTCTTCAACCAATAATAACTTGCCATGCTGTGACCTTGATAGTTTATGACCCTTGGATTTCAGAGGCAACAGTAATCCATCTGCTCGGGCAACTGGAGGCCCATCAAACTCAGCCCAAGAGTATGCCCACAGCAGCTCAACTGAGCCGAACACATCATTAAAATAACTATACAATACTCTATTATTCGTAATAAGGAAAACTTCTTTTCTTTTATTCTTATCAATATACATATGAAAGACGTAAGTGTCTGTTTTTGCGAACTTCCCTTTGTCTAGTGAGAATAGAAACACGTATCCTTCTGCTTCTTTTCGTGAATAAGGACGAACTACTTTATCTTCTTTGAAATAGCGTGGCAGTCGCACTCTGGTTGCATCTTTTGTCACCTCCATCACATCCCGGACAACTCTGAAGGATCCACTGGCAAAGTCGACAAGACCTCCTGTTGGGCGGGTGATGAGCCCTGCCACTCCGATACCAATTCCTTTCATGAAGCCACCAAATCCCTCTGCTCGCGCTCCTGAGATTGGCTTCGTGAAAACGCCACCGACCCCTTCAACCACACCCATCACCAGACCCTTACTGCTCGTTGCAATTCGTTCGTGGGCGGATCTCTTCTGGACATTTTCTCTACGCTTTTGCTGATAATCCTTGTCAAAAGTCAAAGCCGCTAATCCATGTCCAAGTGACCCTGTAATTCGACTCACTGCTCCGGCTGCACCACCCACTGTGTGACCAAATAAACTTTTCATGCCGAGAACAACCCCTTCAGCAAACTCTCCAGGGCCTTGAATGGCTCCTTGGATGGGCTCGTAAAAAAAGTCCTGAACTCCTCTTTTGATATCCGTTACTAATTTATACGGATTGCCAAGCACATCCAGGCCAAAAACTACGACATAAATTTGTCGGATGAACTGGGTTGTATAATGACTCATGACCTCATGCTCCAACTGTCGCTGGTTTAGCATGACATATTGTCGTTCCAAGTATGACAGCTTAATAACAACATCGTTGAAGTCTGTTACTGTCACACCAAAGCTTTGAGTCAGAATATTGATATTCTCTGCGGTATCTTCATGGACATTATCAAACCCAGAGCTAAAAGAAAAGCTCAGATGAAGTTTGATCGGTCCAAAGTGCAGGAAGTCGTAGTAGTTTTTGGCCTCTTCAGAACTATGACAAGTGACTAGCTGGTACAATGGATCGTTCATGACTTTTCTATCTTCCTCGAACTTGAGTTCTTGGTCCTCCATGAGCATTGAATCCACTTTAAAGAGGTTAGTTAAGGCACTTATGAATACAACATCTACTTTAACTTGCATTTCTTGGATGAGAATTTTAAAGTACTTGTACTGTTTGAATGTAGAGTAGTCGTAAAGACGTTGCACTATACTCAACTCGGCAAATGGCTTGGGACTTTGACTCGCAGCAGTGGTTTTCGCTAGAGGCTGCGGTGCGAAAATGACCGGGAATGTGTATGTGTGACCTTGATTATCAATCTGGAGGTGGTTAATTTTGGCATGAACTTGATAAGTGTGTAGGGATGATTTGGTTTGTAGCCAGAGACCAACATGATATATTCGTCGCAATTTTCCCTTGAACGGTTTACTGACAGTTTGGTTGGAGAAATCAATTTGAAATTTACCATCAGACGTAGGTGACAAAGCTTTCTTTCCTTCGGTTAGCGGTTTACTTCCGACCTGGCTGTATTTCATAAAAGCATCCTCGATGTTGCGACTCTCTTCAATAGTTAAAGATTTGAACCGTTTGTTTCCTTCTTTTTGAAGTTGCCAGTATGGCCCAGAGCTGGTCATGGTCAAGTAACAAATTTCTTGCTTTAATTCATTGTTAACTAGAGAGAGGCCGATCCCATGCAGGGAGATGATTATTTCTTGGTCGATTTGGTCAAGATCGCTCACTGCTTCAGCTTCTTTGGCCATGTTCTCGTCTGTTGTTAAGAAGATAGTGCGCTGCATCCCATTCAAAAACGAAACCCAGAATCCTTTTTCTTTCGATTTCAAGACAAACGTACCAAGCGCGTCCTTGCGTACATCAATATCTACAATCCCATCGTTGATACTCAATATTGGACTGTCGAATGATTGCGATTTACACCATGTAAACATCACAGCTGAGGATGCTGGGAGTTTGGTCTCCAACCCACTTGTGGAATGCTTTTCACTCAGCAAGAATGTGTAATTTGTATGATTGACAATATATGCGGGGGCAAATCCTGCTTTGTAATAATCTAGCGTAATGTATGTCGCACTTTCCATAACTTGGATATCAACATTTATTCCTCCATAAGAATTTTCTAGGCGTAGGAGATTATTCATGATTTTTGTGAAAGAGAAGGCAGTAGTCGTTTCCTCTGTGCCATCGACTCTTAAGATCATATCTGTGGAGGTATGCTTGGATTGATGCGGCCAGAATGAATGACATGTTTTGGACTCGACTTTTTCCCAAGAATACTCGTTGCCTTTCAAAACCTGGCGAAAATTGATGTCAAACCAACATTTATTAATTATAACATAGTACGGAGTGAAAGTGACCAGCTTTGTGAGAGAGTTGGACATCATTTTGATATGAACACCGATTTGATATGTGACACCTTTCACCGTGCAAGTAAGCATACCAACATTGCCTGCAACGTCAAGAAGGAACTTGTCGCACCATTCCCCATTGTTGATTTTAACACTGGCCTTGGTTTTGTTGAAAAATGACTTCTCACGAGAAAACATGATTGGTTGTTTAAAGGAAGCAGGATGATAAATTGTCTTGGCACACTCCTCTGAACTCCTGTACGCCAGTTTCATATCAGTCTTGTTTATCATCCAGAAGGGGCTGTACAGTACCATATAAAATGCATCTTTTCGAATGATAGATCGCATTCCAAGTTGAAGACTCATTCTTTGGGCACTATCATAGGAATAAAAGATCCAGGCATCCAATTCAGGTGGTTTTTCATCGATGGCACGTTTGCAAGACCATTCTTTTTCAAGATAATTAACTATCCTTATTATAATACTAGACGAACCTGGTTCAACATTAGGTAAGTCCATTTTCTTGCCTGATGGGAGCAATTTTTCTGTTGGCACTCCTTGCATTACAACAACAACATCGACAGGAAGGAGATTTCGAAGGTACAGTGTGGGCCATAGGTGAACCGAGTGACTACGACTGAAAGTAGTGTATCTACTAGTTGATTCATAATAAACCTTCTCCGAGGAGCCTACTGCTTTGATGAAAAAGGGATCACTATCTTCAGGATTTTTCGATACACACTGAAGCATTTGTGCAGAGGGAGGTTGGGTCAAGTCATACTTGTATGATTTGGAGCAGACTGAGTAACCTCTGACACGGAAAAATATGTCGCCGTCCGTGGAGGATAAGACTGGAATTGGGACATTGAACACAGCATCTGGTTCTACAACTCCAATTAGCTCTAATTGGTCGCCACTGGCTGCTAACGCATAAACATTTATTGGCACGGAGAAATGATTGTATATCTGCATGACACTTCGTAGAATAATACTCGTGCTTCCATTCTCTACCAATACTTCTGAAATCAAGTGACAACTTTCAACATCTTGACCAGATTCAAGCAATGTGTAATATCGCTTCACTGCTTGGACCACAGGAATCTCGATCTCATAGTTTTTGTCTGGTATTAGTACTCTGAGGTTCCTTTCGTAAGAAGCAGAGTTAGTGACTGAATTACTGTCATCGTCCGGCAGGAAAAGAGATATCTCAGCTCCTGATTCTAGAATGACGATTTCTTCATTATTTTTGCGCTCCAAGTCTTGGATTTTGAAAGATTCTAATCCAAGAATTAACGTGACAGACAAACCTGTGAAATTTTTTAATGTATAAGGGGCAGCAACCAACATAGCTAAGGGACCCTCGTTTGACACCGCATCTCTGAACGCTTTGCCAAGATCTTGGCAAACTTGTAGGCATGTTTTGGATACAGTTATTTGCATTAGTTCTTTGGAGGAAATATCAATCTTTGTCAGTGGATTGTTGGAGACTTTATCCGAACTTTCTGTATCATTTGGGTTCTTCGTTTCCATTTTGAAGTTCAGCTCCCATGGAACAGAGGAGCTTTCAATTGAATTTGGCTCTTCGTATTCAATTGGTTCAATAAAAGGCTCCCACAAGGCTAGGCGGCTATTGTAATACTTAACCTCCAAAGTCAAACAGCTGGCAATTTTCATTGCTGAGCTCCAATTTTCGAAAGTCCCATTCAATTTTGACTCAAGGAGTAACATGGGTAGAGTTTTGGTGCCTACACCTGCTTCGATGGTGATGATGATTGATGGTATGCTAACAGAGCAAGCTTCTTGCATGACTTGCACGGCAGATTCTGCCAACAATTTCGGTACTTCTGCAATGGCTTCTTGCGCTTCCTCCGCTTTCAAAAACCAAAATTCATTTTCATTGATTGGCTTAATATCCCACAAGTCTGAAAGGTCTACATTCTCAGGCATGACTGGCTCTTCATCTGCCAGATTTGTGTTGATAGTTTGTTTGATCCGATTCAACAGTTCAATTGTCGCTGGTGAGACAGATAATCTAACCGGAGTCGTTTCAACCTCTATTTGAAGATTATTCGGTTCCGGCATCTCACCTGACAGTGAAACATTTACAGGACGTAAGACCAAGGCAAGAGAGGTTTTTTTCTTTTCTAAAGTGAAAAAGCATGAGTATATCTGAAGGTCTCTTACCCATCCACTCATGGTTTGCGTTGCACCGGTCATTTGAAGCTGATAATTCATCTCAAAATTTAACACAATGCCTCGAGTGTTAGTTTCCACCATGTTTTCAACAAGGATAATATCGGGCTGCTGTACATGGACACTAACAGACATTCTATTATCTTTCGCCTCAAGCTTTATATCCTCTGGTTCGAGAGTCGTTGACTTTTTCTTCTTCATATCAGGAGCAGCTTTGACAGCACCAACTTTAGCAGAACTAATGGCAGGTGTTGGTTTCTTATCTTGCTTCTGAGTGAAAAAGTCAAGGAGCTTCAAGCAAAAATCAAGATTGAACATTAAAATGAAACTTGAGACTTCAACATTGATGCTGGTTAGTTGGTCTTTCTGTGAATAAAGAAGGTTGATCATGTCGTTTGAGTCATCCAAGCGGGGATCTCGATTGCGCTCCATGTAACGAGGCACCAGTTTTTTTCTAGATAGGCGCAAGTCATCAATCAGACAATCTCGCAGTAGAATGGAAAATGAGATGGAATTATCAGAAAAGACACTCCCCTCTAGAGCAAATGTGTTAAGTGACAACTTGGCGAGCAAGTCATCCACTGAATTACCTGTTTTTGGGTCTACTTTTTTACTATTCGTTGAGAGATTAAGCTCCATGCTATCGATGTCAAATTTGAATTTAATCACACTACGAGCAAGCATGTCTTGAAAGCTTCCATCTTCCATTGTTGCCTCCTCATCTTTGTCAAATGCTATGGGCAGCTTTTGACGGCTGATGTTGAATTTTGCTGTCTCATAGAAGTTTGATTTTGTGGGTTTCGGTGCTGGGACACTTGGCTTTGAGGACTTTGGACTGGCAGCTAAATTCCCTTCAATGACACTTAAGATCAGACTATATGCTTGTTGAGATAAGCTCATTTTGATGGCTTGGAAATGACCAGTTATGTCGAGATCAGGCACATCTTTACACCAGGAGATCGAGAGGTTACGCTTTACGACTAGAGTGAAATTAATTGGGAGAAGAAGGGAGGCTTCATCTTTTGTTCCCAGTCCTTTCCGTAAAATGGCACTTGACATTTTCATCTGCTGCAAATCAAGTTTCATGTTATCAATGAGACAGGAATTACTACTTTGGCTTGTTACATTATTGTTGATTGTAAGGTGACCTAAATCTAAAATCAGAGCATGACGACTTTTGAAACTGACTGGTACTACAATCACGGGGGCATTTAATCTTACATCTAAAGAAACTTTGGTTGCATTTTCATATGCTTGCTGCATGTTTAACTTTGCTGTCTGCACGGCAGCAGCAGATGCTTCGACAATGGCCTCTTTGCCTGCTTGGAAGTTGTTTAAAAATGCCAAAAACTCCATTAGGCGTTCGTTCACAAAAATAATCCTTACACAAGCCATCGACAAAGAAACAGCAACATCGAAACTTTCATCCGACAATTCTCTTAAGCTTTCTTTTTTATTTTCATACAAAACTACTTTTGTGACAATCACATCTCTTTCTTCCATGATGCTCAGCATGTTGCGGTTATACTCAGTTCCCATTAGATCAATAATTGAAATATTCGACAAGCTTGCATCCATTTCTGTTGTTTGAGGCTTCATGACTAGTAAAACGTTAAGACCTGCAAGGTCAAACTCGAATAATGGGGCTTCTGAGTGTATAGTGACTAGAAAATCATTCAAACATGCAATTAATTTCACCATCACAATTTCCCTTTCTAGCTCATCTGTTTGGGAGACCATGGGCGTAAGCTGGCGTTGCTGCGGCAATGAGAGCTGGGCTGCCTTTTCCTCACTGGTGGAACTGGTGACCTCTAGAGTTGAATTTGAATCCTTTAGCTTCAACAGGTACTCTTGGACATGATTCCACCACTGGAGAATGAAGAGAATTGCATCTTGCTTGATTGTAGCATCCAATTTACTGACACTCATTTCAACGAGTTGGATGACTGAATGGTAGTGCGTCTCAAAAACGGGAGAGTTCCTATTGACATTCACGTACTTGAGTAAGAAGAGGCTGTGATCAAGGTCGTCGGCTAATGTTGTACTCAGCAACTTGATCTCATCACCTTCATAGTACTGAATGAGCTGCAAAGACTTCAATACAACATTGACGTGTAGATTGAATGTTTGCTGAACCATTTCGAACCCAAGCGATCTCAGATTAAACAGAACAAGTGGCTCTGGAGGATCATCTTCATACTTCTGCCAATCGATCTGAATAATCAATTCTTTCAACTCGAATTTCACCTCAAGCTCAGTTAACTGAACCAATTCTTTGTTGGATTTTTTGTCCACTTTTTTCTTGTTCCCGACAAAATCCAAGGACCTCAGGTTGACTTTCGAAGGAGTGGATCTCACCTCTGTGACAGGGGCCGGTGTTTCAGAGTCTGGAAAAGGAATACTGATCAAGACACCAGCTGCGTTCAGAAGCCTACCTTCAGCAATTTTGATTTCAACAGAAGGTAGCTCCGTGTTCAATTTTAACTTCGGAAGATTAGGATCATCTGTGACGACACATTTCTGAGCCAAGACGATGACACTCGTGGGACGTAGCAGATGTTGGCCTGGAACGGCATTATCTCCTGGTTTCATTTGCCATTTTTCTTCAGGGTAGACCACCATTACCTAGAAAAAATTAGGCACACAGTTTAATACAAATACTAATCTACATAAAAATAAAACATCTACAATTGTTCGCCTATACTGAATTAATACAATTTGTTTTGGCTGTCATTCATAGTGACAGTTGGACGTATTTCTATCAAACGGAACTATGTGCATCATGGGGTGAGCCCTGTTATGCAAGTTTTCTTATGGGTCTCAGGGCTGATGTCTTAATGCACTTAGTTCCGTTTGATAGAATTACGTCCAGTTAATAGTGAGTTTCTCGCTTGCATGGTAAAAAATCCATGCTTAAAAAAACCACTGGCTGATTCCTCATAAAGATGCTGCTTAATTGATACCAATGATGAAACTTAAAGGCAGAGGGCCATTACATAGACTAGGAACTGGAGATATTGAACGATATTTGTTATAGCAATATTAACATTAATAGGACAAGAGATTTGAATTAGATAAAATAAATCGATCAAAATCAGCATTACTTTCATTCTGGACATTTGAAATAAGATGTACTTCAGGGCCTTCTAGAAACAATGATTTGATTAATAAGATCATTCCCATTCATAATATAGTGCAAGGAAGTCAGGCTTAAAAACTTAATTTTTGTTAAGATGGGTATGCAAAATAAAATACTTCAATTCTTTCAGTCAATTTTGGAAATGGGTGAACTACAATAAAAACTTCCCAAAGAAACTTAAATCTCTGTCCACTTCCGGCTTACTTGCTTGGATATCCAAAGTTGTATCGACACTCATTTTTGCTCTCAATTCAATTTATGAAGAAAAAGTGATAAAAGTAAGATTGGCAAGCCTTGAAACGAAAACTATGGAACAAAACACACCAAATTAAACAAGATTTGTAATTTCACTAAAATAAACTTACCATCTCTAAAACTTGAAATTGTAAGAACTGTTATTTTGTAATTTCCTAGATAAATTTTTGAATTTTCAAACCCTCACGTCTAATATCATTTACCTGTAGATCATCTAGTTTGATGTCAAAACGATCATAGCTAGAGCTCATCATTTCTTGGAGAATCGTTTCATCGTCCTGACCTCGACTCCGCATTTCTTGGATGTTCCGCTGACCATCTGGAGGGCGAGAGTATATTGATATGCGACCAAGGTTGACAACAATCATGTTTTCATGTCTGAGGAGAGACAAAAAAGAAGCTAAAAATACAACAGAAACTTTTACACGAACAAAGAACTGGAGGATTGAAAATGTTAGGTCCTATAATAAATGGTGAAATCTCGCTAGGTCAAATTTTCATGGGACCAGGAGAGGTGTCAACAAAAGCGGCTTTTCTTCTTGAGCGAAGCAATTTAAAGTAACTTATGCGTGATTTTTTTAATGGCTTTTCCAAATTATTCAATAAATGCTTATGAATTTTAAAAGTTTTAAATGAATTTTCAAATTTTATCCCTGAACTTTTGAGAAATCATCGAAGTACATCAACAGTCACAAATTTTAAAGCTCTTACTTCTATACTTCCTTCAAAAATACAGGTGCGTCATCATAAATCTTTTTTAAAATGTTCTTTTCTTTTTAAATTAGTAATTTCACTTGATTTTTCAAGTATAAAATTGAACTTTTGTCGGGTTTGCCGAAAATATTTCTTCGACTGAAGCAGCTTTTACTCCACAATAGAAGTTAAGAATTCGTCAAAATCATAGTGTTTTTACATTGCGCTTTATGGTGGTGTCTAGGGACTGAAATAATTTTTGACTTAAGATTATTTACTATCCATAGTTCAACTTAGCAAGATTTCACTGTAATGCAAGTCTCTTCTTTAGATTATCATACTTTCAGATACAAAACATTTATTGAAATCCTTTGATGTGGAGGTAAATTACTTGCACAGATGCTGCTGTTGAGTTTAGCACTTGAAATAATCAACTCATTTACTTCAATGATGAATAGTTTCATTCCACTCAAGTGATGTAGGCAACCCTGGTTTCAAGTTAATCAATAATTAGAAAGTAATTTTAGTGCCATTGGTTTGATATATGCATTGTAAACACATTTTTTGGCAAAAAAAAAGGGGTAAGAGACAGAGGTCTTGTTTCTTTGCATTATCCCAAAAATGACCAACTAAATTTTTAGACACCATAGATTGATGCTGCGGACAGAAATGCAAAAGACAGGGTATTAACAAAAATCCAAAAACAAAAAAATGGTACTTTCATATGACCTTACATGGCAATTTTTTGCAAAAAAGTATGACCACTACATCATATAAGTCGCTTTATAGCACTCCCTGGCGCTCTACGACACCTAACCTCCACTGCCCTTTGTAAAACCATAACCGTTCAGGAATTGAGCGCCATAACATTTCTGCTTCAATCCCATCCTTCCAACCTCTCATTGGGCGTCTTCTACGCCTTCTCCCGGGAGGAACCCGATCAATCAAGGACCTTCTTCGGCAACCTGTCTCCTTCCATTCTCTGAACATGACCATACCAAGTGAGTTGTAACGTCATAATGTCATGCACAATGGTCCGTTTGGCATCCATGATCTCCCATACCGTTTCATTTCTGACACGATCCTTTCTGGAAATACCAGCGGATCTACACCAGAAGTCCATCTCTGTTGCCTCTAAAACTTCCTGGGTCCGCTGTTTCATTGGCCATACTTCACACCCGTAGGTTACTATGCTCTTAGCAATCGCGTTGTAGATCCTTCTTTTGTTCTCTTTGGAGATCCTTTGGTCCCGAAGGACTCTGTTTAACATAGCTATTGCCCTCCTACCATGCATATTTCTGTTCTTGATGGCCTATTCCAATCGTCCATCCTGGGTTAGAAAAACTCCTAAATATTTGTAAATATTGCAGCTTCCACTTTGCCGCCCATCATCTAATTCTATGCTTTGCTGATTCCTGCCAACGATAATCTTCTCCGTTTTGCTGACATTAACCTCAAGGCCCCATTTCCGATACTCAGCCACCAACTTTCGAGTCGAGTACTAAGCATCATCTAAATCTTGGGCGATAATTACTTGGTCATCAGCAAAGCATTATGTACAAAGAGTAAGTTTGATCACTACGTTAATAAAAAAGCTTTTAGTTCTCATTGAAAAATAACTTGCAGGTAAAAAATCCTACTGTGGCGCCATCGCCACCAGCCAACCAGAGCGAAGCTCCTTGTGCCTGGCACCCTCGTCACCAGCCAATGAGAGCGCAGCCCGTCATGCTTTCCCGCGCGCCCGCACCATAAATATGTGCGGCCGCGAGCTCCATTTCACCATTCTCTTGCAGGTCCTCTCACACGCCACACGCTCTCGCTCCGACTCGCCATCACCTGAGCTCTTTGCTCCATCATTCGAAAACGGCCCTTTTTAGGGCCACCATTTCTGTAGCTAGCTCATCCACATTGGTGACCCCGACCGAACAAGAAATCGCACCTTTACCTGCAGAATGGCGAACGAGAACGAGCACCTAGCAGCAGCCACCCTCCTCGCGCATCCGCGCTCCGACGCCTCCCTGGCCCTGTTCACCGACGCCTCAAATCTCTCAGTAGGTGCCTGCCTGAAACAACAGGTCGAAGAAGTTTGGCAACCGCTAGCATTTTTCTCCCAGAAATTAACAGCTCGCCAATCTGCCTGGCCCGCGTTCTACCGAGAACTTCACGCCGTATACGCAGGCATTCAACATTTTAGGCACATGCTGGAAGCCCAAACATTCACTGTGTATGTCGACCACAAGCCACTGACCTATGCTTTTAGTCAGGACAAATCAAAGTTACCTCCAGTCCAACTAAATCAGCTGTCTTTCATCGCACAGTTCACCACCGATATACGCTATATATCCCGTGCTACCAACGTTGTCTTAGATTAACTATCCAGGATCAAGTCTTTCTCTGTCAGCCCCGCTGTCCCGCTCAATGCCCTCGCAGAAGCCCAAGAGACAGATAAACAACTCGACCCTGTGGACTTCATCAACCAATTGCCCCGCCAAATGGAAACTCTACAGCCAACACCAGTAACAAAACACGGCCAACCTGGCACCTTTGTTTTCAAGGAATTAGCCTCCTGTACACACGTTTTTCTTAGGGATGACACTGTACGGAGCGCCCTAAAACCTCCTTATTCTGGTCCTCATCAAGTCATATGCTGAGATGACAAAACTATCACGCTTTTAATCCGAGGAAAAGAAGCATGTTTCTCAATTGACCGCGTGAAACCAGCTTTTATTTTGTCCACAGATCCTCACTCCGGCCAAAATACATCGCCCAGCATAACAGAGGGGAAAACGCCAACGCAAGTACCCTCTCGCAACGAAAAAATCAAGCAAGCATCAGCTGATCCGAACACCACAACCCGCACGGCACGACCCGTCAAATTTCACGAGCCCGTGACTACCCGCTACGGACGCATCACCAAGAAACCCCAGCGTTTAGACAAAGCACGCCCATTGGCTAACGCACCGCCCCACCGATCGTATAAGTTGGCACGCGGCAAGCGTCCAGCCACCAGTCACTACCCGGACCCCGCTCCAGCCGGTCACGCAGCACAGCACCGTCTCTTCATTCTTGCAGGTTTTTATTTTCAGATGTTCCTGACACAAACTCACTCGTCCCTGGCAATGCAAGCTCTAAACCTCTGGATCCCGCCCCAGCTGGACACGGAGTACCGTCTCTCCTTTCTTGCAGGTTTTTGTTTTTAGATTGATCCCGATGCACACACTCAGTCCCAGACAATGCAAGCTCGAACCTCAACGACGCTCCTGCCCGCCCCGCTTCCCCGCTCCCGCCGACACCGAGCCCCGAGAGACCACACTGAACCGAACGGCAAGCTCGGATATCAAGGTCATTTCCGCCCGCCCTGCTGTCGCCGCTCCCGCCGACCCCGAGTCCTGAGCGACCGCACTCAAACCCACCGCCAAAAACGAAACAGCAGCCCCGTCGCAGACTCCGCCCTACCCGCTGGTCCAGTCCCCCGTCGACACG